TTTCCCCCTTGCTCTAGATTCGGTCAGTGTGTCCGGCCGTTAACACGATAACCTTTGAAAGCCTCATCCAATTGTCATGAAATTGTGTACACATAATGATCTCATTTAATAGCTCAGTCGAGTTCGAAGATGAGAAGGATCCGTCAAGAAATGGATGAGTTATCGAAAAAATTGTCAGTATTGACCAGACCATCCCTGAGGAGGTACAGGAATGTTTTCAAAAAAAAGGTTTTTCTTAGAATTATTCACAACATATATAAATCGACTCAGTTTTTGCAGTACACCTAACAATCGGAGGCGTATCAGATGTTTCCTCATTTATTTCTTCTTTTGTTAATTATTTACAATTCTGTTCTCGTTCTTTGAAGTGTTACTAGTGAGTGAAATGCGTGAAATAGCATAAAAATATTTCTCTTTAATTAATCGTTTCCAGCCGGATGTTTTCTAGTTTAACATTTGTTTCTGTAGGAGCAGCCGTATGATATTCAAGAATCTATGAAATTTCAAGAATGCTTTTGGTGTATTATTTATGCACTTATATTTTTTGGTTTTATATTCAAATGGTATTATGAATATCAACATCGAATAGAGTTTTTTTCCGTATTAATTGAAGGAGAAGAAAATAAAAATGTTAAAAACTTTTCCATACAAAAGAATTTTTCAATATCAAATCCACTTTTGAAATATATTCAACGATGTCCTGAATGCTTTTTATTTTTATTAACAAAAAAAAATCTATCAGAAGATGCATTTATTTTCGATGTTCTTAATCAAATTACGATTAATTCAGAAGCCATATTCTATCCATTAACAATGAAACTATATTATAATAAACCTATACCATATTACACTATTTTATCTAATAATCCAGCCGAGTTAACCATAAGGATTCGAAATTATTGGATAGATTATATAAAAAATTTCAATAATATTAAACAACATTCAATTCTTTATTTCATTCTTCAATCATTACAAAAACCAGTTGAAACAATGAATCATGCATGGCCAAATAAAACAAAATTAATTCTTTACTATACAAAATTTTTCGGTAACAAGTATTGGTATAATGCAAATGAACAAAATGTTTATGCAAATGATTTGAATCTAAATAATTGTCCTATATCAGTGAATGCATGTTATGTTACAATTGATCATAAACTATTTTCTCAAAGTGATGCATCACTTATTCATGTTCGAGAATCAATTGATTATCAAAAATTAGAAAAGATAACCCGTCGACCCGAACAACGATTCGTTTTCTTTTTAAAAGAATCTCCTATGCATTCACCGAAATTATCTTCGGGACAACATGGCCGAGTATTTAATTATACTCAAACATATAGACCTGATTCAGACGTAACAGCAACAACATTGCGAAACCTTTTTTGGTTATTCAATTATAAAATCTATCCAAATTATGATTTTAATTCCATCATAGAAACGAAAGTATCAGGCAAAATTCTTGTTGCAATCATCTCGAATTGTGGTGCTTCAAGTAATCGTTTAAAATATATTGATGAATTAAAAAAATACATATCAGTAGATGTTTATGGTAAATGTGGAAAATCATGTTCTCACGTTCGTGATTGTCGTCAGTATGCTTATACAACCTATAAGTTTTATCTAGCGTTTGAAAATAGTTTATGTGATGAATATGTAACAGAAAAATTCTTTCTCTCACTGGAAAGTGCACGAATTGTACCTGTTGTACTTGGTAAGGCACGTTATGATCATTACATTCCATCATCAGGATATATTGATGTACGAAATTTCTCAACACCACGTCAACTTGCTGTCTATATTGATTATCTTGATAAAAATACAACAGCTTATTTGGAATATTTTCAATGGCGGCAATACGCAATTCATATCAAAATTCCTAAATATATATGTGAACTTTGTTTAAAATTATTTCTTGATGATAGAGATCATAAAAAGCAATCCTTACAGAGCATTGATCAATATTGGAATAGGAAAACACAATGCCATACATATGGGAAAGATCAGACTGGTAAATGGATTATCAGGAGGCACTAGTACATATCGTCGCACGACACTTCGTCGCGTTCACTTCGTCGCAATCATTTCGTCGCACGATCACTTCGTCGCAGAACATTTCGTCGCACGATCACTTCGTCGCGTTCACTTCGTCGCGNGGTTATACACAAAAAGAATAATTCATTAAGAGAGATGCGACAAATAGATAGGGACGAACAGAACGAAAAGAATTTTTCTGCGACGAAGTGTCGTGCGACGAAATGATTGCGATGAAGTGAACGCGATGAAATGTCGTGCGACGATATGTGCGGTCACCTATCAGGGATCCCGATCAGGAGGGGGAGTGGAGGGGACCAGCCCCCCGCAAAATTTAACAAGTAAAAAGTTTTTTCTGCGAAATTTTTTGCTATGATTTGAGTCAATCGAACAGTCTTGAGCACAGTACTCCTGTATACCATCAATTAAGACTTCTTTTTTACTTCTGCCAGAAAGTCTGTTTGTAATTTCCGTTAGAAACTCTTCTCATTCTACATTTCATTTCTGCCAGAAAGTCTAGTCATTCTATGTGTTGTTTTTACCAGAAATGCTATTCATTCTACATTTATTTTTACCAGAAATTCCACTCGTTTTACATTTTATTTCTGCCAGAAAGCCTAGTCATTCTATGTGTTATTTCTGCCAGAAAGTCTAGTCATTTTATGTGTTGTTTTTGTCAGAAATGCTAGTCATTCTACCTTTTATTTTTATCAGAAATGGTATCCATCGTACATTTTATTTCTACCAGAAACTCTAGTCATTCTACTTTTTATTTTGGTTGAACTGAACCCTAACGAATGTCTAGTACATTGCGACGGATAAAGTCCTGGTTGAGAAATCGATTACGTGGCAATATCGGTGAAATCCTATTAAAACTGTCTAATCTTGACATACAGCTAACAAGTGGTGTAATTAACTTTATTGCTCGAGATTTCATAAAAGATTCAGGACGCGCAAAACCTATTCCTAATCCAAAATCACTTTGTGAATCCTGGGGAGTTCCAGCCAGTATTCGAATTTTTGGGGACTCCCTGTCGGGATATTCCGAGAAGTTGAAAAAAATATGAATAGTTTTTAGGAAAACCTCTATCTAGACTCAAAAACCTATGTAAAAAACGCCAAAGTATCCTAAAAAATTGCTGGGGGATTTCTGAAAATTTATTGGGCAGTCCTCGTAGACATCGCCAGCATTCCTTGTTCGCTCCCTAGGACTTTGAGAGACTCTCGGGAATTTTAACGGGATTTTCCAATTAATATTCAGAAATTCGTCAGAAATCTTTTAAGACACGTTGGCGGTTTTTACATCGATTTTTGGTAGTCTCGATAGAAGTTTTCCTAAAAAGTTGTCATCTTTTTCTCAACTCCCCGGGGTTTCCCGACAAGGAGTCACCAAAAATTCGAAAATTGGCTAGAACTTCCCGGCGATTAATAAAGTGACTCTGGATTAGGAGTAGTATTATGTTTTGAATCTGATCAAGTGAAGCAGAAAGATGACAAAATTGGAAAATGCAATGTTACTTTCTTTGTGTATCTTACTTCCACTTGTTTTTAATAAAAATGAACTTATTGCGTTAGATGATGATATTATGAAACAAGGATGTGCTTTTTTTCGGATACTGTCTGCCAAAAAAAAGACTTTCTGCCAAAAATTAGCCCAACCCCCCCCCCCTCACTTCCAAAAGTAATCGGGAACCATGTGGATTATGAAATAGTGATTCATTTCCCAGGTATTTTTTCCTCTGTTGTGAAAAATCTGTGTGACAATGACTCAACGATATGGGACGAAAGAGCAATGACTTTCTTTTCTTTTCTTTTACATGAAATTCACAAAGATAGTAAAATAACTTAATTTGTTAATTTAGTTTTTAATATTTTTTTTTTCATTTTTATTAATATCTTTTTTATCGAAGAAATAAGATATCTTGAAATGAGCAGTTGATAAACAAGTGGTTTATTTATTTATTGAATATAATACTTCGAACAGCGAGTAGCGATGCATTATTAATAAAATTATGTACAAAAAATATTTTCATACCCTTTTCATGAGCTCTCCTCCGAATTCATCATTGATTTTTTTTCAATTAGAATTCATCTCATATACGAAAAAATCTAATCGTGAGCTTATATTTCTTTCATTTACTTGAAATGCACTGACGATCGAGTGTTTGTTATACGGTCGTGTTATTTTCTAGAAGCAGCATTAGTAAACTAGTAGAGTGGTGTTGTGGTTTCATACCATATTACCGTTTACGTACTTACAGAACATGTTTTTCAATTAGAAACATAATGCATGATAAACATTTGCCACTCAAATTGAATTCTATAAATTGATTTTTAACTTGAAACGACGGCCACTATTAGATGTTGACGAAGCTTTTCAACTCGTTTTGTCATAGAACGAAAACTGATCGTCTTATATTTGCTGCTCATTTCTTTTTTCAGCTATGAGCAAGCGTGTTGTTATTTTTAGTCAATGCATGTTTTGTTACTCAATTAACTGTCTGAAACTTCATTCAAGCATACAAGAGGAAAAAACGGGTGATCAATAAATCGGAATAGTAGAAGAGAAAAATGCAAAAACTGACAGAACTTATTCTCATAGGCTTCAAATACGCAAATAACAATACTATCCATCATTTTCTTTTTTTCTTTTTCAGCTAAAACAACCTCATTATTCATGGCTGAGAATTCTGTTTACGATGATGATTCTGAAATCGATTCGTTGAATGCTGACTCGACAACAATGGATATTTATGATGATGTAACTGTATCGACTGATAGTTCAACATTAATTTTTAACTTATGTAATAATATGGCAAAGAGAATAAAAGATCAAGCAGTTAATACTATTGAACACACCATCGTTGATACGAGTTCAAAAACATGAATTACTATTAGTGAACTTGACTGTTTGTCTTTTGTTGTACGTAATCAATATAACGATTATAAATTGTCTTGTGTATGTATGTTTTTATTATACAAACTGCTTGATTATCAGCCCATGTATGTTCTAGCTGAATAGAAATTCAAGCAATTTGAATTAAGAATGATCGACAATTCAGCTTTGACAGCAATCAGATCAAGAAATGTCACTTTTAACCTTTTGAAAAATGTTATATTATTGCATAGTCTAATTTGCATATGATTCAAAAATATTTCTCAGTGATCGAAATTTTTGACGAGGATTCATAGTTTTAATTCTAAGAAATACAAATCCGCACACTTATCATCTAGTACTCTACTTATCAGTCTTAATTTGATCATCATTAGCACGCGCGTCTAGTGAATTGCATATAATATAATAAAATATTTTTATTTTCTCTAAGTAGATGTCAGTATTTTTACTGAAGTCTATTGACTGACAATTTGATTATCAACCCCGAGATTATCGAATCACACGTAAAGTCAATCAATGGTACATCCACTTTTGAAAGGATGAAAAAATCAACGGTTCCGTTAGTGTTTCTATGAAATGTTAAACACAAATAAAGATAAAATTTTCGTTCAATATCTATGTTTCTCATTTGTAAAACAATAAAACGAACTATAGAATATATCGGTCATATGCAAATGCTATTAATGGATTAAAATAGTGCACTCTTGCCCTCAATACTTCATGCACAGATGAACTTGCGGCTATTGTATAAAGAGCGACATTCTGTCATTTTTGTGTTTATTTTTTTATATGAATTTAATATTATGCATTATTTTATGATAAAAAATTCTAATGCAAAACAGCAGAAGATCTCGATAAAGCTAAAAATCAATTATACAGCAAGAAAAAAAACAAATCATTTTTGCACTATGCAAAATATACTAGGATTAGTATAGGAACGAAAATTATTTTTGTTTTTTTCTTCCACATGATTGACATAAGCAAGTTGATATTTGATTATCTTGAAAGTAGAGAAACTAAAAATGACGAATGGAATGTGGAATATATTTTATTTCAGAAAAATCTTTCGATAAGATCAAAAACAAATAATGAATGCGAGTCTGATCAACAGCATGTTTTGCAGAAAAATTCTACATATATTGTCGATAAGTTCAAGTTTTCTATTTATACATAAAAAGAGTGCACGACCTGTTATAATGCTCAATTTTCTCTTGAATCTTCATCTATGACCGAGTTTTTCTTCATCATCATTTTTTAAGATTGAATCTGTCATTTTCTATGATTAAGTTTTCGATTCGTTTAACTCAACAAATAAGTAGAATATAAAATTATTTAATCATCGTATAATCAGTCTAGAGATAAAATAACATGCAAGAACATGTGCAATTAATAAAATTTTACCAGTAATTCCGTGAGCCTTCCAGCCCATGTAGTACTGTCAGAATGATCATCGTGACTATAAGAAGGCATTACACGTAAGCCACGGCCACCATTGCTCAATCGATCTCACGGATTTGACTGACATTTTTACAGTAGATGCCTGCATTCAAGCTAGGAATAAATCTAAAATTTCAGCCCAAACGGATGAGCCGTTCTCGAGACATATCACTTGAAAATATGGGTACTCGATCAAAATTAGACGTTTTATTTTATTGCAGTACTTTTCACTCAAAAGTTTGGCATATTAAATTTTGGCTTAGGAAAAGTCATAACATTTTCACCAAAAATTTCCATTTGTAAAAAATTGACCTATCCGATATTTTTATTGTTTCATCACTAACAACTAGCATTTTCTGGAAACTAACTTCATACTTTGATAGCACTCAAAATTCTCTACCAATTCATATACGAACATATTGCGCTACATCCTTTCGTTAGAAAAATTCTAGTGCAATGATGATGTTTTTCTCCTCAAATTCTTCCAAATAGAATTTTTGTATTATTTTTTTTTCAATTTTTATCCATATTTGAGTAGAAAATACAACTTACTTCAAAATCAAATGCATAGCGAAATAGAGCGTGACATTTTCTATCATTGTACACACTAGAAACTGAGATTGCGATAAATTAAAGAGATAGAATTAGAAATTTGTAAAACTATGAACAACGGCAATAAATAACTAAATTTTTTTCTTAATGATTAATTTCTTGACACTTTGGCAGATGCTGCTGTTTCTGAAGCCGTTCATCCTTTCTACCTTGACCTAATCATATGAGCAATTTATTTGTATTGGTACTGTCACGACTGTTCTCGATTTGGATTTCATTGAAATCGACGGCAGAAAAAGAGTTCAATTCTTGTCCTGTTGATTTCTAAAATCCTATCATTGACTACATTTCCATGCGATGGATTGTACAAAGACGATCACCGTATGGAAATTATTCAAGATGTTGAATCGGATGAAATTGTGAAACACGATTGTACGATGATAATTTTTCTTTATCTCTTCTTAACTATGTGAAAAGGATCATTGTGGTGTATGTGTGAGCAATGGCCAGTGCCTCTCTATCTTACACTAAATCTATATCTATAGAAGCAACCTAAAGCACTCATTCGTAGATAGTAAAAATAAATGACACGAAAACTTGAATTTTATTATGACGTTTCAAGACAAATGAAGACGCTGGCATCTTATCTTTTTCGAGAAAGGTTTTTCCAATATCAATAAAAGATGTTGCTCGATCAAGAACTAAACTGCATTCAGAAATTTCATATGATCCTTAGTTTAATCTGCGAATAACACTAATTTGTACTTAATAAGGCACCATACTATTCTTTAAATTAACTAATTGTACAGCGTCCGACAATCAATTGTTAAAGCCAGAAGAAATATTACACGAAAGGTTCGGTGGAGGATAAGTTATTTTAGCTATTTTTGAGACTTGTAAGAACTACAAGAACCTATATTTTTTCATGTAGAGAACATTCACTCGATAGATACATCATGTGTTCGTCAATAGACATATTTATTCTGTAGATTTAAAAATAAACAGATGCCAACAGAATCTCGTGAACAAAAATAGACTCCATCGTAAAAAGAGAATCAGATGCTAATTGAGATTTTGGCCTACGAAGTAAGTGATACAAATTTAGAATTACAACAACTGCATGTTCAATTATATTAGCTGAAATATTTGAAATATTCAAAATTTGAGCACAAATAACCTATTAATCTTAAAGCATCAGTTTCTTGAACATCGATCAAAAGTAAAACATATATTACCGGACGCCCACTTCAACTGACAAATCAAAACAATTCACGTAGAGTACAATATTCTAATAATTCCAGTCTCGATTTGCTCTCTGATCTGTGTTGGATCTGCAATAGGTGTCGTGTTCTATAGAGAATTTCTCCCGCTAGCGAGTGGGAATAAATTCGGGAGAGGAGGGGGGAGTTATCGGGAAGAAAATGGGATTTATTCAAGAAATACACACTTTCCCCATTGCACAGATAATGCATAAACACTATTTTCAGTCAGAATTCACTTTGAGGCTTGTGTTGGATCTGAAACTGTCTTTATTCGATATAGAATTTCATTTCCTACTGCACAGTATCATTTTAGATGGAATCATCAGACAAAAAAATGATGAGTTGGGTGAATACTTGGGTGTGAGTATATATTTGAGTGTGAGCGTGGGTAAGACCGTTTCATCTTGGGAATGAAAAAGCAATACTCTCAAATTTTGAAATAAGTCGGACAGTATGGTAAATAATCAATTGTGACCGCACATCTCACCGGACTCACACCTATATATATATCTACACCCCAGTGGCCACCCAACTCATAATGTTTTGAGTGCGGATTCCATTTAAAATGATGCCATGCGGTTGAAAATGAAAGTCTACATCGAATAAAAAAGGTTTCAGATCTAACACAGGTCTCAAAGCGAATTCAGGCTGATAATAGTTTTAATGTATTATGAGGTCAACCGGGAAAAGTGAGTATTTCTTGAACAAACACCATTTTCTGCCCTACGACCTGCACTGAATTTAATTCCCGATCTCTATAGGAGGAAATTCTCTACTCCATACAACCTGAAATAGACCAAACACAGGTCATGGACCGAATCTTGACTCGGATAACTCGAATGTCGTGTTACCTTTATTGACCTCAAAACACGAAAAACAATATTCAGCTTTCTTGATATAAACAATAGTTATTTAAAAACAAACTGTTCCTAGTACTGCGCGATACCGTTTTATAGCAGATTTTTAACATGCTTCTCGTGTTTCTATCTCATTGTGCTATATCTACATATCGCTATTTTTTTCATATTTTCTGAAGAAATCGATATATTTTATTTTTTAATATGATTATGCGATTGAAGATACTCAACAATTGATATATTGCATCATACTGATTGAATTTGTCTGAAATATTTGTGTATGCCTTTTGCAGCTCTGTGCCGAAAAATTAACCTGAGTCGATATTTTTAACTTATCACAATCTCAGTTTCTAGTGTGTACAATGATAGAAAATGTCACGCTCTATTTCGCTATGCATTTGATTTTGAAGTAAGTTGTATTTTCTACTCAAATATGGATAAAAATTGAAAAAAAAATAATACAAAAATTCTATTTGGAAGAATTTGAGGAGAAAAACATCATCATTGCACTAGAATTTTTCTAACGAAAGGATGTAGCGCAATATGTTCGTATATGAATTGGTAGAGAATTTTGAGTGCTATCAAAGTATGAAGTTAGTTTCCAGAAAATGCTAGTTGTTAGTGATGAAACAATAAAAATATCGGATAGGTCAATTTTTTACAAATGGAAATTTTTGGTGAAAATGTTATGACTTTTCCTAAGCCAAAATTTAATCTACCAAACTTTTGAGAACATTCTTCAATGCATTTTGATGTGCTCTTTCAAATGAGACTACTTTCAGTGGATAGGATCTCCGTGATCCGGCTACGTTGCCCAAAATACGTGGATATGCTTTCTGAAAATCAGATATGGCGTCAATCAAAAATTATTTCTGGATGTAGTACTTTGATGACTATGAAAAGATAGCAGCCCGCAATCGATAGTATCTTTGGTGCAAAAATCTCAGTGATATCTCTTATAACTTGGGAGAAAATGAAAATATACTGAAAAGTACTGCAATAAAAAAAACGTCTAATTTTGATTGAGTATCCATACTTTCACGTCATATATCTCGAGAACGGCTCATCCGTTTGAGCTGAAATTTTAGATTTATTCCTAGCTTGAATGTAGGTATCTACTGTAAAAATATCAGTCAAATCCGTGAGATCGATTGAGCAAGGTTCAGCTTAAAACGGTCGTGACTTACGTGCAATGCTTCTTAGAGAGGTGATACAACAAAAATCTTACATTCTACCTGGATTTGTGGTTACACATTCTCACATTCAGATGTACACCCAATCTCGATCTTGAGTTCAATGTCCACCATGAAAAATGGTATCATTCAATAGAGAATGAAATTCTACATCCAACACAAGTCACAGTCACAGAGCGATACGGAGCTGGAACTGGAAATTCTAGAACATTCCACTTACTGTACCGATGTTCACTTTGATTGCATTTTTCTCACGTTTGTTTCATTATCGTTAATTTGATTCTTTCAATTTTTATCCTTTTTGAAATAAAAACGAAATTTTACGAAAGAGCAGTAGAAAATGCAGACCTGATTACAGCACTTTAATTTTAACTTGTATATTTGTTCGAAATTTTTCTCTTCGTTGTTCCACAGCAGTTGTTTAACGACCTCTATTGTATGAAATGGATTAAAATCAACAATGAGGTCAACATGAATGCTTCGATTGGTCAATATTGAACCATCGATAAAAATCTATAGTTGAACAAAGAACAAAAATGGTGGAATGGTAAGGTTCATTCAATAACTGTTCCCTAAAGAGGAATCAAGTTTTTAGTAGAAAGTTTTTTCCCTCATCAGTATATTCATTTATTATCTTCATATAAGTTATTCGAATAATTTATTCTTGTCTTCTTTTTCTTTATTTTTTGATTGATACATTTGGTGAATCGCCTTGCTCAATAACCGCTCCTGTTCTTCTTTCTCTCGCTCTCTCTCTCTCTCTCACGCTCATTTTCACCTAATTCAACTGCTAATAACCATGCGTGATATATCTCAACTTATCAATGGATAAATCAATTAAGAGTATGAAACGTGAAAATGAACTATTAGATGCTGTCAAATCATCTCATACATCTTCAGTTCAGCGTATTTTAGTAAAATGTCGCTCAGGAAAAACAAGTAAGTCATAGAATCGAACACGTTTTTCTTTTGTATGATAGCAATCGAATTCTTTAGATATTGTATCTCCAAAAAAGATTAATCTCAATTTTCAAGATGATAATGGGTAAGTCAAGAAAAAACACAGAATTCTTATGACTATAGGCTAGAGACTACTTGATCGTTGATGTTTTCTTGTTATTGTTGTTGTAAAAAATATTAGATAATCATCATTATTATTTCGATCATTTGTTTCTCATTTATACGCTTTTTTGCTACTATTGGTTACACATGTTTCTCCTTAAGAAAGAACGAATGCTTTTTCATATGGTTCATATTTGATTAGATTGTTTTTGTTTTGTTTTATTTTTTATAAAGATAATCAATGCCCGCCCCATTGCGAGTCAAGAGTTTAAGTATAAAATAAGAATTATAAAAGTCATGCGAAAACTTCGAAGACGTAGATTTATCGTTATGAAAATTAAGAAATTAAACCGCTCTCGATTGTATCTATTCTTTTCTTGTATGCTAATGGAATAGAAAAAAATGCCAGATATCATCAGCAGTATTATTAACCTCTGAACAAAAAAGGTCGTCGCTTGTTGTACATGCTTGTAGGGAATGTAAATATATCGTTGTCGCCGTCTACAACATTACTACTAATTCTTCTCATTCGTATTCATCGGGGTAAACCCTGAAAAGAAGCCTTAAAAAAAAGAAAAAGAGAAGCGTGGAATCAACTTTAATTAACACATTGCTGATGTTATATCCTTGTTTCTTTTCACGTTCTTATCATCACTTGAATAATTACTTCTTTTGAACGTCCATTTCCTTTCGAAAAAAAAGACCTTGTTAGGATATGTCTATCAACATAGAAATAAAAAAAAGAACGAGATAAGATCATTGGGTTCTCATTTTTCTTTATCACGTCGCGTGTAGAAAAAAATTCATAGTAAGAATGCTAATTTTTGTTGATGATTGTTTTCGACACGGGTCATCTGCTCATGTGTTTTTCTTTTTGTTCTTCATCCTATTCTAATGTCTATGTGTTAAAATAGAGATAAGAATAAATGTGAAATATATTAAAATGAAAAGTCAGCACGAGTCTTTTTCTTTTTTTTTCGCTGATAATTGATCATGATGAATTAAAAGTCTGTGCATCAATTGCAAGAAAGAGGAGAATAGCATTAGATCAAAAGAAAAGGAAAAACATGCGTGACTTCCGGTTGTTGATGTTCATCCGTTGTTTTTTTTATATATAGATGTAGTTTTAACGACTATTCTTACATCAGTTCTTGTTCGCCTTGAATGAACTATTGTGTGATTCCCGAATGAGAGAATCAGATTGTCAAAAGGAAATGGAAAAAAAAGGTCAAGTGGCGACAAACGATGATGATCATGATGACAATGATCATCATCATCATCATCGTCTTCGTGTTGTCTCAAGAGAGATTTGTACGAGATCATGAAATGCTCACGTTATATTTTTTTGTGGCTTGCTACAATCTTTATATTTCTTCTTCCTTCTAAATAAATACATATACGAGATGACCCAATTGATCATTTCCTGCATCATTCTATTTCTCCCTATCAACATCTTCTCCGCTTTTTTTCCTCAACACGCAATCTTCGCTGTTGTACTATATAGTGTCAAAAGTTTACGTAATCTTGAGTGCACATGCACTCACGCATCATCGGTATAACCACACAAGAAAAAACGGATAACCGTGTAATTGCATCCGCTTTTTCTATCTATATAACAATCAAATAGAAGAATAAAAGCTCTACCGGTAAAGTGTCGATGATACTCAATGGAGCCTTTTGTTTTTATTTATGGTCAATCTATATAATTATAATTCAAGGGTATCTTATCTTCTTTTTTTTTCTTTCTTTTTCCATTCTAGAATGGGCTCGATTCACGAGGCAGCCGTCGGGGGTAATGTCGAAATCCTTAAGCTGCTCATCGATAATGGTGCCAATGTAAATTTAAAAGATAACAAAGGTCTTCGTCCATTACATTACGCAGCATGGCAAGGTCGTAGTGAACCTGTTTTTATACTTTTACGTCGTGGTGCTAATGTAAACGAACAGTCAACCAGTGGTGATACACCATTACATTTAGCATGTCAATATGGTCATAATGAGATAGTACAATTACTTTTATTTCATCAAGCTGATCCTACTATAGTAAATCGTCGTATATTAACATCACTTGATTTAGCATGCGAAAATGGACGTTTCGATGTTGTTAGTTCACTTGCACAAAATTCATTATGTCAAAGAATGATATTAAATAATAATGAACAAAATTGTGCATTACATTTAGCAGCTAGAAATGGTCATACAGATATTGTTCGTTTATTACTATTGAATGGAATGGATATTAATCGTACGACAATTAATGATGGAACAGCTTTGCATGTGGCTTGCAGGAATGGACGTTATGAAACCGCTAAACTATTATTAGAATGTGGTATTGATGTTAATCTTTGTAATTCCTATGAACAAACAGCAGAAGAAGTTGTTATTAAACAAAAAAGTGGAAATGATATAAAACGTTTAATAAAAGGTTTGCGAATAAGACAAATTGAAAGTTGGAGGAAAAAATTTCTATTTTTAGAATTTTCTGATGCAGTATTGGTACGTGCAGTTCGTTCATACACGGATAATCATGTTGGAGCATTGAATTTTTCCGAAGGAGATTGTATTACGGTAAGATAAATAAAACGAATTCGAATAGACGAGCATCATCATGTTGCAAATGATGATTTGCTTTAGGTTTTGGAAAGGAATTCATCAGGACAATGGCGTGGTTTTATTCTTCAAGAAGATCTAACTACACGGATGGGCTATTTTCCGCATACACATGTTCAATTGAATAATAATAGTGAGCTTTGTGATGGTTTTAAGTGAATATATATTAGTCAGAAGAAAAAAATCAGGTGAAACGATGAAGTCAATATTATGTTTAGCTTGAAAAAAACATTTAGATCATTATCCACTTATCATGACTTTAAGATTGAGAAGAGTAGATTTTGCTCATATATTTCGAAGGTTTGATCAGAAAAATTCTCAAAAGAGCGAACAATAGTGACTAACTCAGATTTAAATATTAGCTCGTCATGAATTGAAATAGTATTGGCATCTATCGAATATTTTAGTCTTTTTAATCACACCCTCCTAGTATGTCCCAAGATAATCATAGACTTCAGAGAAGTACTAGGCCTACATCAGATTTGTCGATAGCAAGAGATTATTAGTTTGACTTTATTTCTAACGAGTGAAATAAATTCTTTTTTTGAGATCCGAATGCCGAGATCATCATCATAATTGACTTCGTCGTTTCTATGATAGTTTTTTTCTAATTCGATTTTGTTATTGTTGCATGTATGCATGTTTGTGTATTTATTGTCAAGGTTTATCTACTTTTCGCAAAACTCATCTTTCGCCTGTCAATATCAATAACAGTGTCCGATTGTTGACGGCTACAACATCAATGACCAGTAACAATGTTGTTTTAAGACATCATCGTCCTAGTTGTGTGTTTTCATTGTTTACATATATCTATCAATCATATAAATCTAACTTGTATACATTTTGTTTTCTAGTAATTAACGGTAAAGAAATGCGTCATACAACATCGGATGACATTCATCGAACACAACAATACAATGGTGATTTATCTCCTGTCGATAGTGATTCTATATCTCGTGTTTCACAAGCTGATTCTGGTCTAGTAACAACATCTAGTTGGAGTTCACGTTCGCGACGTGACAGTCCAACAAGTAATAGCTATCGGCATAGTGCAGCAAGTAGTATCGATAGTGGAAGAAGTTCAACAGCTTTATATGATAGTCCAAAAGTAATAGGATCATAAAAGTAGTTTTTAAGTGTTACTTTTATTTTTTTATAGACTCTTGCTTTATCAAGTTTTATGGGTGTAACAACAACAATCAGTCCATTGTCATCAGCAAATAATTCAACGATTGGCGATGCACGTTCAATATGTAGTAGCGAATCAAAATCATCGGATCAAGATAAAACCAGTTATCGTAGTTCAAATAGTAGTTTAGATCGTTTAGACGAATCAAACACTCTGAATATAAGTACAACTATACATACATTGTTACGTAATAGTGTTCCAGAAAATGAAATAGTCGTATCTTGGTTACGTGAATTTTCATTTGAGAATTATGCTGACAATTTTCTATCGAATGGTTATGATATACAAACTATTGTTCGAATGACACCTGAAGTAATTCTATTACAAGAAACAAGTTAAAAAGAAATGCTTTTTTAAAATTTTTTTCCATAGGATTTAACAGCCATAGGTATTACACATCCATCACATCGGCGAAAATTAAAAAATGAAATAACTCGTTTACATTTACCTGATGGCTTACCTGATAAAAAACCAGAAACACTTAATGATTGGTTGTCTGCTCTTCGTTTAAGTCAATATTTATCTTTATTAAACGAACAAAATTATATACAACTATCAGATATTATGGATATTGCTTGGGAAGATCTAGAAGATATTGGCATTACTCGCCTAGGTAAGCATATATATATATATATATATATTGAAACAGAACTTTCCTGTCATTTGTTAAATAAATAAAAGGTAACGAGTTCTATACTAAACAATTTGAAGAATCGACATGTTTAAAAAAAGGACTCTTTTATTATAATAACGTGAAAGAATATTTAAAAACAAAACTCTTGTATTTCACTTTGAGATTTTCAAATATAAAGTTTTCTCTCGGGATTGTTGTTTAGGTCATCAAAAACGTTTTATGCTCGGTATTAAACGACTAAAAGACATAAAGAAAGGTCTCTTTCAAGTCAATACAAATTCATCAACACAATCACCAACAGTTGTTCCATCAGCAAACAATCATCGTTTACCATCAACACCCTCAAGGCAATCAAATGGATTAAATAATCGACCAAATGTTCCCGTACGACAAACAAAATCTTCTCTAGAACGTTGTAATTCTCTCGAGAACAATAGTATATTACCAGCACAATTAAGCATTCGAAAGTAAACAAATCTTTATCTTATTGTTCTTATTTTTAAATAGCGTCTATTTATAGACCATCAATACAAATATCTCATCTTTCACCAACACGTGTAACTTCAAATGGCGATTCATCAAATTATGCTACTCTTCGAAAACCTCCAATATCACCAAAAATATCTCTTAATAAACAACAGCAAAAACTTATTTCAAATATTGTTAGTCCTATGGCAACGTCATCGTTTCGTTTACCACCTCCATTATCATCAACAACAAATAGTACCAATACACCTGCGAACAATGAATTATTGTCATCTTCATCTCGAACACGTAGTTTAGAAAATATAAATTCAAATGAACAAAATCAATCGTCAGTTTTATCACAAAATAATACGAATTCATCTTTGATAAATGGCAATTGTTCACAATATAATCAACGTTCGAATAAAATAACTAATCTTGAATCGTTAGGTGATGCTAATCTATCATCAAGTACAGAATCAACAAATGGTATTCCATTTGCGAATGAAAATGTTGGAACTATAAAGCAACGTTCACCGCATACTCAAAATAATAATTATTTATTTAATGGATCATTAGATAAAATGAAACGTTCATTACCAATACAATTTTTCGAACAATCAAATACGCATCTATTGAAACCTTCATATCCAATGACAACAGCTATTTATGATAATAATGAGCGATTTATTCCAACAAACATAATGTCACCTAATAAACCCATACGAAAAAATTCAGCATTGTCACCAGCACAAATGAACGGAAGAAATAAATCTCTAGGAACAGGAGATAAACGTGTACAATACATAGATATTATTAAGGGTGATAAACAAAGTAAACCAGTCAAGTAAGTTATTTGATTCATCGCTTTTGAGTTTATATTTTGTATAAAACAAGTAGATGACGTTAAAGACGGAAAAAGCACTATAGGGTATTCCATAGTATATCTTGATGATCTTTTCTCTCATGTCCCACAGGTGAAATAATTCCTATTAAATGCTAAACATTAAATGTGTCAGTGTCAAGTTTTTGTTCCTTTTGGGAGTATCATCAAGGACCTAGACGCTATTTTGCACATGTAGAGTATGAATTTTAGATATGTCATGATGAGAAAAATCTATTGCTAGTATTTATATTAGCAACAAAAACCTATTCAGAAATCCGTCAAAATCGATTTACAAAATTTGAAATTCTCTATCTTTCGATATATTGGAGTAACTAATTCACATCTAGTAAACTAAGATATTATAAGTAGCAAATAGGGTTCTATAAAAATCTCTTTAAAAGAGCTCCAGTCTATAGATACGCACAAGATCGATGAATTATTATTATAGATAATACAGTCTTCATCATGTTTCACTTATTTAAAACTCTGATTTTTCTTCATTTAGAAACGATACAACACATGCGTTGTCTGATATTGACTCAATGCTCTCTGATCTCAATCGAGAGCTTGATCAAATGCTTGATTATGAACCAATGTCTGCTGCAGCTCAACCTTAGACTTTTTTGTCAGATGTTATTTTGAACAAAACAAAAATATTCTTATTCAGATACTCAAATATCAGATTAATGAAATTTCTCGTTTTTTAAATTAATTGTCATTTTTTCTTTTTTCTTGTGTGTGTATATTCTTACATCTGACACTCTTGCCTTATTTATTTGAATGAAATTGAAATATTAACATATATATGTACGCGTGCAAATTAAGTCTCTCAGGAAAGTATGAGAAACTATTTTTTTCTATACTCAAAGTCTGTTTACTTGTTCATCATCTGCTTCTACGTTTTTTTAGTGTGTGTAATAAATAAAATGAAACAGATAGAAGAAAAATGAATTAAATCTTTTCATCCAAGTCGCTTACTGGTTTTATGATTGCACGAATTGAGGACAGTATTACAAGCCGATTTGATGTTTAAATAGAACAATAACATTTAAGTTTATCTCTTTGGATTAACATTAGCTATCTTTTATCGGCTTAAGATTGTGATTTTTGATATGATTTGTGACATACAATTTTACGAACATGAATACATTGAAAAGAACTCTTATTTCATTTGAAATCGAATTTGCGCATTAAATAAAACAGACAAGGGAACTAACACATGACACAGTAAGTTCGAACAAGAAAAAGTCAAACACAGCGTGAACTTTACATGCATCATTAAGAAATGTTGCTTTAAGTTTGTCGATAAGTTATAGCGATAGAAAATATCGACCAAGAACTTTGACTGTTTTATAATTTCAACATGAAATTAATGACTTTGCTTTGTTTCATGCGATTAACTAAATTTTTTTAAGCTAACTCTAATTATTCACAATTTTGAAATTGTGATAAGAAACCTACCAGCGCCCTCTGTCGACTAATCATTGGATACATATAGATATATATATATATATATATATATATAGCAGTATTATGATGAGTCACTTACAAAGAAAAGCCAACCGGGAGACCGCAGCACGCAATGAAATCGTGTTTCAGTTGTTTATTTATGTAACCATTAGACTGTTTTATGGAAAAATCCACGTAATATGAAAAAGCGTTATATAAATAAGATTGTTTAATTCATTCGTTTTTTTAAATAGGCAAATTCTTATTTTTAGAATTGTATATGGTGAGATATAATTACAATAATGGCAACAACAACATATTTCTCTCCGATTATTTCGGAGCAAATTCTCAATATTAAGTTTGATCCAAACTTCTTACCTGTTGTAGCTACTAGCTTTGCATTTTTCCTAATTCTTTATAAATTTATCAATCCATGGCTATCCAATTTTTTTGTGAACAATTATAAAAATTTGAATGAAGCACAAAAAATTGATTGGAGTACAAGGTATTGACTTTTTTTCTCATTGAAAAAATATGTATATATATATAGAGAGAGAGAAAATAATTCTTTAGAATTAATTCATCAATTAATGCTCTCATTGTTGGAACTATTTGTGTTTATATGATGATTGCTGATCGAGGACTTGCAGCAAATCCTCTTGTGTAAGACAAAGAAAAACAAATCGTGTTTTATTTTCTATTTGTATTTTTTTGATTTCTAGATACAAAAGTTACTTATTAAAAACTAATTTATCTATTGTTATTGGATATTTATTAAGTGGTAAGTAATGTGATATTAAGTCTATTTTAGGTATCTGTCTCAAGTTAATTCGTATAAGGAGAAAATTCTTTCTAAATATTATTGATTCATAAAATTTATCTTGTACTTATATCTATTGAATCATATAAGAAATTGAAAGTCAATCTATGATATGCTTTATTTATGATTTAGATACACTTATTAGTACCATACATTACAAAGCTATTGGTGATCCATTCTCAATTGCTCATCATACGGTTTCAACATATGCTTTTGGCTATGTCTTAACATTGAATGTTATGCCTTATTTTGCTAATTTTCGATTACTTGCTGAATTATCGACACCTTCTGTAAATCTCAGGTTCAGTAGTTCGACTTTTCTTTTTTAACTATTTAAGACATTTCCTCTTTTGTCTTTAGATGGTTCCTTGACGTATTAAAATATCCAAAAACATCAAAAATATTTGTTTTGAATGGTTTATCAATGACATCAATTTTCTTTTTTGTTCGCATAGTTGCAATGCCTATTTATTGGTGGAAAGTCTATATAGTTGCAATAACACCATTATGGCCTCATATGGGCCATTTTCGATATATTCTAATTGTTGTTTGCATCGTACTTGATATTATCAATTTATATTGGTTTTTAAAAATGGCTCGAGGCTGTGTCCGAACTCTGATGGCTGTCAATAACAAAAAACATGGCTAATTATTGTGTGCATTGTACTATTTCCTTTTTCTTTTGAGTAATCATGAAATCGGTGCAAATTATCTCTGAAATTTTCATAATTATGTGTAACATATTCAAGCTAATTTGTTAATTTATATTATTCAATAAAAATAACAGAAAACCGTGTTACTTATAGGTTCTTGTTTTTTCTATTTAAGATGATTCCATTGGATTGGTTTGCTGCCGGCAGTGCAGGAACATATCTATTAACTGTAATGACCATTTCTATAGCGGTTTGTTTTCCACTTGGCTTAATTACATTAAATTATTCACAAGTTGATAAACTATGGAGTTTACTACCACCAGTATATTGTTTGATTGTTGTTTTAACGGCACCATTTCAGCCTCGTATTCTTCTAATGAATATTCTTGTTTGGATGTGGGGTCTTCGTTTAACATATAATTTCGTACGAAAAGATGGTTATACATGGTCTGGCGAAGATTATCGATGGCCGGTGTTGAGAGAAATTGTTAAAAATCGCTTTCTTCTTGAATTATTTAATTTAGTATTTATTTCAATTTTTCAAAATTTTCTTCTTCTATTTATTGCATCGCCAATCTTCTACGTAGCCTATCATCCATCAGAATCATTGAATCAATGGGATTTAGTTTGCACATTATTATTCTTATTTTTTTTCATTATTGAAGTTACTGCTGATCAACAACAGTGGCTTTTTCATGCAGATAAAAAAGCAAATAAACCGTGGACAAAAGATGGTTTTCTTAAAACAGGCCTTTTTAAATATTCACGACATCCTAATTTCTTCTCGGAAATGTGTTTATGGTGGATTTTTTATGCATTTACATTTTCTGTTCGACCATCTTCTTATATTAATTGGACAATTTTGGGTACAGTGTCATTAACGTGTTTAATGAATGGTTCAACAGCTTTTACTGAATCGATTAGTTGTAGAAAGTATCCGAAATATAAACAATTTCAACAGGCAACATCAAAACTTATACCATGGTGGCCTTCAAAGATGGCTGATTAAATATGTTTGACATTAAAGAACTCCACCAGACTTCAGATTGATATTTTAGAGAGTCACGATAAAACATGATTTTTTTATAAAAAATTGAAATTAGTATCTATAATTACAACTACCTTTATTCATAGGATAAAAATAAATAAAATGTGATTTTTTTTAATTATTTGTGAATTTATCGTACATTAGAATATCGATTATGGCTGATAATCAATATGTTTTGAGTAATGAACTGTCTTCATAAAACACAAGATTTTTTTTTTATATGAAATATTTCATAGAACTGTACAAGTTGACTATGTTTCTCGCGGGGACTTCAATACATAAGGCTTACAATGTCACGCACGAGTTAATTTTATCATAATGTGCCCTCGGATACTTACGCTTTACAAAAATAAGATTATGATAACCGATGCTTGTTTTACAATAATGATATGAAAATATTATATTCTTGCTAAGCGCCAATATTTTCGTTTAAAGTGATCTATGACGCAGTCACACAATGAGTTTGATGATCATTTTATAACAACTAATCAAGACTATGGTTCCTTCTATTGTGGTCGATTACAATACAGTCGAACAACTGCAGATAATATTGCATTGGAATTATTCATAAATGATCAAGTTCGAAATGAACGTCGTCAATTAAAATCTATTGCTTATGATATTCTGTTTGATGTATGTTTCTACTTTTTTTAATGATCATTAGCTTTTTTTTTTTTATATTTAGAAACACAATTCACTTAAGTATGAAAAATACACAGGATTTCTATTTTTACAGTTATCAATATTTTAGAATAGTTAATCCGGATAAAAAAAATTGTCAAGTAAGTATTTATCAATAGAAAATTATTCTTGATTGTAGTGACTATTGACCAGCCAGTTGTTTCAAGACGTCAATTAAAATATTTTAAACCCATAAATAAAACTACTGAAGAACGACATATCATAATAAAAAATGCGATTGAATCTTATAAAAGATTTATCGAATGTATCTATCAAAATAAATCGGAGAAATATGTATGATAGAAATTCTTCAAAACAAAAACCATTGCAATCTTTTTCTAGTTTCAAATCTCACCTACTGCCTTAGAACTCGTAGCAAACGAACTTTTTCTGTTAAATGTACGAATAGAATTGATACTTTTAAGTAAAAATGTGAATTTCTCTCTGATCTAGCCTGAAATCTTGGCTGATGCATTGGCAGAAAATATGATTGCAATAACAGTACCACATGAATATCTGTAAGTCACAATGAAAAGTAATACAATATAAAAATGAATGATCCATATTTCCTTTATCAGAGGAATGCCGTTTATAAATCCTAATCAGTCTTATCCTGGTACTGAAACCGATTGTTCAAAAACTTCTGGTCTACAACATTTGCTCGAACATTTTCAAGAAGCTAAAGTATATTATGAGTAACTTCTTTTTTTTAAGCTTAACTGATTTAAATTAATGGTTTCTTAGAAAAATGTTCGCCATGGTAAACAGCATTTTGATTCGAAAGCAATTAGTTCTCAACCGATGCATGGAGTTAAATACATTTATAGTCCGTTTTGTCAATTTTAAATCATTTTGTCGATTATAAATCCATGTATTTTTGTTGACATGATAATGAATTTGAAAGAAAAAAAAAACACAGAAAAGAAAAAGAAAACTCTTATTCTATTCTTCATTTGTTGACGCAAACTTTGAGAATAGAGAGGAAGAAAACGCAAGCATACGGTGTATTACTTTTAATAGACTGTCTCTCGTGTAAAAGCAACATTTGTTTTGTTTTTTATACGTTTGTTACAAAATGAGGTAAAAATTGAAATCGTTCTTGAAAAAAGAAATAACATAAAAGAATTTTGCCTTTTTTATCGATTTAGTTGTGCTAAATGTGAACGACCATTTCGCTATGGTACCGAAGATACAGTAACAATTAATAAAAAAACCTATCATAGTGATTGTTTATCATGTGATAATTGTTCGAAAGCGTACGATGGATCATTTCTACCTGATCAACTCGATCAACAAGCACTTTGCCGAGAATGTAGTAACATGAACCAAACAAAATCAGCAACGAATTTGCAATCGGCTAGTACAGAATCAAAAAATAAGTATGTAATTCAAATCGACATCTATCATGAGACAAATGTCATTCTTTTTTTCCTCGATGAATTTTATATAATATTTTTGAAATTATCATTTTTATTCATGTAAAGGTAAACTTATTTGATATTGAAAAATTATTTACGACTATTTCGTAAAACACAACATTCGTCATGTAGGAATGTTGAATGCACTGTGCATACTTGTAAGATAATGAAATATATTTATCTTCAGTTACGATTGACACTAGGTGAATATTCTTGTAAAGAGTTGAATTTCGCCTACAAAGTGTATAGAAAAAGACATGATCATATGATGCAGATAGGTAAAAATTGAACAATTCAACTTAGTCAGAGTAGTTAATGATCTAGATATCGAATGAGGAATTCGATATTTTTCCCTGGAATCGTCCAGCATTTATTTCATACATTGTGGATGAAAGTTAACTCTGTTCGACATGTTGACAGTCAACCTGGAAGAAATTCTTTGATAAAATTCACATTATTTGATTTTTCTAGTGTATTGCGTTGTGGTGGTTGTGGTATTCCATTTAATCCTTCATCTCGACATATAACAAAAAAATATCGTAATAGAGAATATCATCATAATTGCTTAAAATGTCACGAATGTCAAGCACTAATCGAAGGTGAAATCTATGAAGATGAACAAAATACCAAAATCTACTGTACATCATGTTTTAAACGTCGTGATCAACAAGGTTTTCAAAAACAAAATCAACAAAAAAAACTTAATCAACAGAAAACAGTTCATTTTGCTGAAAAACTTGCCGAAACACTCAATCGCGATGAACTAGAAGCATATTATAAAAATGATCAAGGTCATAGTAATGATTCATTTCTTACTGGAATTGAAAATAGTGCTGGAGGAATTAAATTGTAAGTAATAAAAAAAACTTGCATCGCAAAAAAATAAAAAGTAAATTTTCTTTTTATTGAAAATCTTGTCTAGTTGTGCTGCGTGTATGTTACCATTTCATTATGGTTCTCGAATAACTGAAGCTAATGGTAAAGAATATCATTATGAATGTTTCTCGTGCAAGAAATGTGCTCAACCAATCAATGGAACATACACAATGACTCCTGATGGATCAACATTTACGGTTAGTAATTATATTTCTCGGAATATATTTAGCTCAAGAAAATGTTCATTCGACTTATTTTACTGCAGTGTGGAAGCTGTCTTCAAAAAGTGTATTCATCAACACCGATAATGTTATGTGCTGAATGTGGACAACCGATTGAGCCACATGTTCATGCTCGTGTTACTTTTAATAATCGCTCGTTTCACTCCGAATGCTTTTCATGTGCAGTATGCCGTCGTCAATTAAATCCATCTCAAGCATACACCTTACATAATGATCAACCATGGTGTCATCAATGTGAAGTCGATACTAAGACGTGTTATGTATGTGGAAAACCTATATTAGCAGCGGGAATAACGTATGAAACACGAGAGTACCATGCTGAATGTTTTAAATGTTCGCATTGTCATAAATCATTAGATAATGAGAATTTACTTTGCGCGAATAATTTACAACCGTATTGTGTTCCTTGCAATGAAATATTATTTGCTAAACGATGTGCAAAATGTGCACAACCTATTCCATTTGATAAGAAGTACACTGTAATTGATGATAAGCCATATCATGAACATTGTTTTCTATGTGTGAAATGTCATCGACAGATTGGTTCGAAAAAGTTTTTCAAAGATCCTCGTGGATTTGTATGTTCAAATTGTGGAAAAGCTTAAGTTGGACGAATAATCGAACAAGAAAAAGCACACAAATTCAGAATAAAAAATAAACGTGGTGTCGACTTTTTTTAAAATTAATTTTAGAAATAAATCATTAAAAATCCTCATTCATTTTTTCAACCAACGGTGTTCAATATCATTTACTAGACAATTCCACAAAGAACTATTGAATATGTAGCTTTTAGGACCGATTGAGATAAACTTCGTTTCGTTATATCTTCTCAGTACATCCTCGGGGCCGAATGGTGGGTCAAGTATAAACGATATTTCCTCTGAGGTCAGCTTTCTTGATGTTTTTTGTATCGATATATATATAATCGCAGTGATCATGAAGAATTCCTATCGGGGGAATTACATCAATTAGAAAGAAATAGATTCATGAATTTGATGGGAGAAACATTCTATTTGATAAGTAACTCGGACTATTTGAAATCAACAAAATATTCGTAAAAAATTGAAACATCTGAATTCCGTGTCAATTACACTAACCGGTTTCTCATGATTCAAACGATTTGCCTAAATAGATCATTGTTCTAGTGCATTTATGTTTCTTTTCAATATGTTTTCAGGCAAATAACTAAAAGAAAATTCTATGATATCGCATAACTTTCGTAACAGAGAACTAAATTTTATTCCGCTTATTGTCAAAAATAAGTACCAAAAAGGAAAAGAGGAAAAAAATAGAAAAGAAGCTCGTGCTTTTTTATACATGATAATATATAATATTGACTTCTATAAATAATGAAAAATTTTGTACTTTGATTGATTAACTAGACGTAAGATAACTATAAAATTGAAATACTTCTTCTATTCTGAAGTAAGACGTGTTGCTCGTCGATGTGTTGTCGTTGATATTGTTGTTTCTTCAGTTACAATTGTTCCTGCCAGTCGAGTTGAATATCGTGTTTGATAACGAGTTTTAGTTTGTGTTTCAACCGGTTGTGGTGGCACTAAGAAAAAATTCGAAGATTATCATTAAAAAGAGATAAATGTCGAGCCAATGATTTCTTACCATTTTGACTGTCTTGAATTGTCCGACGGGTTGTCCGTCTTTTATTACTGTTTTCAAGAGTTAGTATTGGCACAGCGGGTGGCAATTGTGTCACAAGTGGACTTTTTAATGTTTTATTTCGACTAGTTGTCGTTGATGTTGATAATACTTGATCAATTGAACGTTTCTCTACTCTTTTCGATGTATTGATTTGTGGTTGTTGTTGCTGTTGTTGTTCGTCTTCCTCTTCTTCTCTACATATATATTCATATCAATGACGATTATCAGTATAGAAGTAGTTTCTTACGATTCAGCTGATGCTATCGGTGATAATCTCGAAGTATCATTATTAATAATGATGGTCGGTCGAACGTACTCTGATTTTTCAGCATCAAATGTATGATTATTTAATAAAAATGTTTTTCCTAAATGATTTTCTTGTACATTACTATTGTGATTATCTACAAAGAGAAATAGGCACATCGTACGATGAAATAATTCTGTTGTATTTACTTATTTTAATTGGTTCTCGAAAACTGACTTTTTCTTGCTTAATTTTTGGTTTTTCTTCAAGAGATTTATTTGACAAAGATAATTTTTCTTGTCCTGATTGCCGATCACGAATACGAATGGATTGATCAGTAGTTAATAGCAATGAACGAATACGTTCTTTACTATTATTAATAATACTTTCTTCGACTATGGTATCTTCATTATCATCATCATCATCATCATCAGTTTCATCTTCGGATGCGATTGGTTTAAGTGAATTTTTAACAAATGTCTTATCTGAGATTGTTGAACGTATAGATTTATTATGTTCTTTTTTATCTTCATCATTGTTTACTGTTGGAATAAATTGTAAAAGTGAAACAGATAAATCAGCATTAGTAATATCTGTTTCCATTTCGGTTTCTTTTTCAATAGCAGATACATCACGCAATGTCATATGATTTCCTATCGCTTTTACTGGAGATGGTGATTCTTCGACTAATGTTTCTTCATGAACAGTTGTAGACATATTAAGTTGAGAAGTACCAATCATTGACGTATCTTGCGAGAATTTTGAAGCACGTAAACGAGCCTCTAGATTAATGATCAGAAATAGATTTCGAGAAAAACAAATAAAATCTAGGCATGCAATTTAGACGTATTCAAGTAGAGTAAGTACAAGCAGAAAAGTCACTGTTCTAAATTAGGGATTGGATGAATATTATTCATAATTTATCTTTCGAGTTCACGAATCAAAGCGTGTGGGGGTGGGGGCAGGGGTGCCGATCTTACTCTGAGCCACATCCACACCCTCATGATATTTCATCTGTTGTTATGTATGAATTTCATAAACAACATACTTTCATCACAAGCATATCATTTAAGACAGCAATTCATTTTATCTGGCATTCTTAAGAGAGACTTTTCAAGTGTATTCAATAACTATCATAAAAATACGGTTCGTACAAGTAGCGATGAGCTAAGATGCTTGATGATTCATCAGGCGGGAAAACTTTCCTCAAGAGCTATTTAGTAAATATTCTAAGTTCTGCAATAATTATTTTAGACTTTTATTACTAGTTAAGCGCTTAGTCTCTTACTTTTTAATGTTTGTGTGATCAAAGGTGTCAGAGTTCGTGCTTGCTAAATAGAATAATAATGGTTTACATGTTGAGTTATATTAAACAAAAAATAGTGATTACCAATAAAATAGATACATCATTGTTCTTTTCTTCCTCTTCCTCATATTCTTCTTCTTCTTCCTCTTCTTCAAGAATTCGACTAAAATCTGGACTTTGCTTCACTCCTCGCGGTAAACCATTTCCACCACCATATGAACGTAAATCACCGGGAACGACTAATTTTCTATGAAATTAAATACAACAAAGATTCATAGAAACAAAAGCCTGATATTGAGTCTTTTTACTGTTGCAACATGGCATGAATTTCTTTCCAATGATCAGCTTCTTCTTGTATACCATCAGCAATAATACGACATTGTTCATTAACAAATGTACGTAGATTTTCCATGCGCTAAAAACGGCAATTAATCAAACTAGAACATGTTTTTTCAAGAACATTTTACTGTTTGAAAATAAACTTCAAGTGATTGTGTTGCTAATTGACTCATATTATCAAGCATTTGAAGTTTTTCATCATATTTTTGTAAATCATTTTCACTGCGATTTATTTCATGAAGAATTTCATTATTTTGATTTGAAAGGTTTTTAAATTCAATGTTTAATAGAACTAAGAAAATTAAACATAACAATCTACTTCGATATAGTTTCGTTTTGTTTAAACTTACTATTTGCTGCTCGATATAGACATCGTCGAGCTGCATATCGTGCTGATTTAGACTCAATAAAACGTCTCTCATTCCAAACAATTGTTTGAATATACACTGATTTATTGCCGAACATATTTTCTTTGGTTAAAAACGATATGAAAGAAATCGATATTTTTGGTTTCTGTAAAAGATTTTGTCTTTGTTTTAGCGTCTTTTACGTAAACGAACCAATTATGATTACCATTGTCCTTAGAAACAGAGGTCACTATTTTACATATTAAAGTTTTCTAGACGATTATTATTCATTTTTTTTCTTCAGTTCTTCTCTACGGCGAAACTAAAACGACAAAAAACACTTTTTGAATCACAGTCAATCCTTATTTTTTCGTCAACAACAATAATGACTACAGTAAGTGATTGACATCAGTTCGAAACACGAACTTGAATTTTACTTATATTAGGATGAAACCATTCTAGATGAGCTTCTAACCAAACTTGAATCTTCATCAACACTACATGCAAAAAAAGACGACGATGATGATAGAATTTGCTGCCCTAAAGAAAAATTTCATGAAGTTGATGGTGGTGCTGCATTATACAATGATGGTCTCCTAGCAAAATACTGTTTTCGTGCGTTATCAAAATATCCAATTATTTATGGTTATAAACGATATTCTTATGGAACACATCAGATTCGTTTTCAAATTGAAAAACGAGGAGATTTACGTTCATTTTTTGGAATAATGAGTTCATTAGACAAAGTAAGCAGAGTCATATCAACAGACTTAGATAATAGATCTCTGTATGGATGGTGGGAACTTAATAGTATTGTTACGAATGGTAAAGTTAAAAGAAGTAAAGAAAAAAATGATATTGAAAAAAATGATGAATTAACATTAACATTAAAATGTGATCAACAACAGATAGAATTAGAACATCATCGCACTAAACGTTTATTAAAGCTATCAGTTGATATTCTATTATGTCCGTTTCCTTGGAAAATAGTTGTTGAACTACCTACTTATGGTGAATATGTACGCATTGTTCAATAGAATATTCGATCTAGTCAGTATTGCTTTATTGTACAAAACTTTTTGCATAAATAAACATTTTTCTTTGAAAATAAATTATTTTCTTTAGAATATTAATCAACAGATTCTACAAATATCAATGAATAGTGTCCTGTATAGTAAATATTTTTGATCACGGCTTGTGACTTGTTAGGATTTCTTTACACGTAAAGCAAATACAATCTGTACGAATGTTCACTGCATTTTATTTCTACGAGTAAAATCAAAGAGAATGTCTTGAAGAAACACAATAAGAAATTTATCTAATTAGATGAATAATCATCATCTAATCTTTAATTCGAAAGAAAAAAAATCTAACATAATTTGATCTACAACAAAAATAGTCCTATTAATCTCTCGTAACAGAATGAAAAGGATCATATATCTCTAGTTGTATTTTATTTTAGCATTACTATTGTTCAAAACCATAAATTATGATTATGTTATGCGCGATTTATGTACTTCACCTCTTACATAATAGAGTAGTTGCAGATATTGGATGGACGCAAACAGTATTGTCGTTTGTATCGTCGGATATCTAACTTTGCAATCGAAATATAAGATGTGCAGTGTTTTTTCAACGACTGTAAGCGAATTCATAAGCACGAACTTTCATAAGCATAAGTGACGCCAAATTCTAACTGTGAAAGAGACAAAAGAAAACATCGCAAAGGTTTCTGATTGATTGCAATTCATACACAATCGCAACTTGAAACGCAGTATTCTTCTCAATTCGATAAACAACGGCTCCCAATAGATCGTTAACATACTCTTGTCTAAACTATGTGTTGTTAATCGATACAAGAGTTTGTTCAAATGTTTATTTAAGAAACACTGAGATCTTCTTGTCACACAGTTACAAGAATCTTTCTTCATCTTGCTCTCTTGTTCATAAAGTTGTACGATGTATTTTTTGTGTTCTGTTCTCCTAGTACTTCACGACAAGAGTAAAATAAATTCACTCTACGAATGTAATCTACATATTCTTTTATGTATTTTTCTTTTCTCATAAGTGTCGAAGAAAGAAGGTTATAACCACAGAGTGTGTACGTTGATTTCTTCTTTTTTTTCTATTAAAAAAGAGATGTTTGAGCTCTGATTATTTTAAGTTTAACATGGCAACAACTACCGCAAAAAAACCATGTGCTAAATGTAGCAATGGTAGTGCAGTAACTACATGTGATGGATGCCAACAATCATTTTGTACGAAACATTTCGTTGAACATCGCCATGAACTTTCTCAACAGATGAACAATATTAGTCAAGAACATGTTTTAATTCGACGAGATCTATCAAAAGAAATTCCGAAGCATCCATTTTTTAATCGCATCGATACATGGGAACGAGAATCGATAAATAAAATTCAAGCAGCAGCCGAAACAGCTCGCGTCGATCTTCGACATTTGCTTGATCGAACGAAGAATGATCTAAACCTATCAGTAGAAAAATTAACAACTGAACTTAATTCATGTCAACAATCGGATGATTTTACAGAAAATGATCTTAAACGATGGACTGAACAATTAAAAGAATTACGTAAAAATCTTGAGATTCCATCGGCGATTTCCATTGTTAATGAAGATGATATTAAATCATCTATTCGTCTAATTCGAGTTTATGACAAACAACAGAAGCAGCAAGTAATTCAACGTCCTTTTACGCCTGCAATTCGACCAGTAGAAAATCGTATGCACAATATTAAAGATCAGATTTGTATCAATAATGAAAAATTTGGAGAACTAGATGGAAAAGCCAATATATCTGAAGATAAGCTTGTTGTTACTTGTTGTTTAGCATCGATCTTGACACAACCAATCGTTTATGGTACTAATCGATATTCAACAGGAAAACATCAAGTTCGTTTTCGAATCGAGAAAATGGGAGATTTACGATTACTTTTTGGAATTATTCGTTCTCTAGAAAATATCAGTAGGTCAGGTCAATCTCAGAATAATAACAATTCACTTTATGGTTGGTGGGATCTTAATGAAGCGATCATCAATGGTAAGGTGCAAACAACAAAATATAGAAATATCATGACAACTGGTGATGAACTTACATTGACATTAGATTGCGATAATAAACAAATTCAATTGCAACATCATCGAACGAAAAGACTAGCGCAAGTTGTAATCGATCTGAATAAGTGTCCCTTTCCGTGGAAAATAGTCATTCGACTTCAATCTGCCGGTGATTGTGTACGTATTCTTCAGTAAAAGTTTTCCATTAAATGATAATTAGAATAGTTATTTCATTGTGTGTGCGAAAGTGAAAATGATGTAGGAACATGTTCACTAAGATTTTTAAATATTTAAAAAGCAACGACTTGCGAAGTCAAATTTCTTTCCTTTTGTCATGTCGCCATAAATAAATTGTCTAATAAATTGAATCCGATTGTTGGAAACTTTTTACGTGTACACTATGATAGACTATGTTCTTATAGACCGTATATACTGTAAAGTTTTTTATTTTTCAAAAATTTGTTTTGATTGTAATAAATAATTGAAAGAAAACAATGCTACAAGCAAGTGATGAGTGGGAAGGGCTGAATGATTTTGGTAGACTTCACTTTATGCATGCTATAATTATGATTCTATGGGAGATATTTTCATTTATTTTAACAGAATAATAATATAAATCGGTACCGTCATAGTTTTGAATATGTAACTAGGAGTGGGTCAATGACAGTAATTTAAAAGTAAGTAATCAACATTTAATATTCAGTGTTATAAGTGAAATAAATAAAATGATATATCCCTAATTTATAAGCCCGGAGTGAAATGACCCATGACAATACTCGATCAGATCTTAGTTCGAGAGTGCAGGTGTTACAAGACTACATCATAACCCCTCACATCCTTTATTATGACAAATTTTTTGTTAGATAGTATGGTAAGCTTCATCTTAACTAGAACCGAAAAAGATGAAATGTGTAAACTTGAAAGACTTGAGCCTCATCTGATTTTACAACGTTTCACAGACACCGTCACAAAAGCGATCTACAAGAGAGACTATGTATCAAAAATACTTTGTGTTTTACAGTGGACTTCTCACGAAAATACCCTATAGGAAAGTTTCAATAGCTATATGCATGACTTTAAATAGTAATCAATAATATAAATCTTACACGAGGAAAAAAGTATCTCTTTTGAAAATGAACCTTCTTGATCATGTTGCCCTTTCCAATTACGAAATACCATCTTTGGATCTATTTCCTCATCTGACTTACATCACGTCATACTTAGTAACACGCACTGACACCAGTGAAGTGACATTGAGCAATGGTGAGTTCAGTGGTGAACAAAAACTTTTCGCCTTAAAGAAATGTTCACATTTACGTCGAACATTAATCATAGGATTTGCCGGTAGCTCTACCCGTTCAATAAACTATCCGATGATCTTCATGCTCTTAAGGGATAAACCAGCGGCTGCATAAGAAGGTTAATTTTTGAAGAACCGACTCACCTATTATTCTTTTAACATGTAACAGGCATATTTCATCTATTCTCGTTTTATTTTATTTTCTGTCAGATGATTATTTAGTGTGAACTTTCTTAAGAAAAAGAACAATACATAAATGCTGGATTTTACTTATTCCGCCTGAGCGCGTATCTATCTTTTGCAGTACCACAACCATTTCTACATTCCTGCATAAGATTGTATAATGACAAATACGACTATTGACTAAAATTTCCACCTGCCACTACTATTACTAGTGCTGAACATACAATTTTCTTGACTTTAAGCAATCAAACTAAAACGTTTTTCATTTAAATCAATCGCTTTGTAAAAAACAAACTGTTCATAACGTATACTTATCTTATCATAATATTTTATTCTTATTTTCAAAATAGCAACAGAAAAAATATTTACGTATAAATAGAAGATACGAGTTTTAACTAATAATTTTTGAGCAAAAATCTCACTACTTTATTGCACAAAATTCTTCTTTACAATGTTATATATACACATACATATATGAACACAAGATGACTTTGATTATTAAAATATACCAGCATGAATAAGATTTGTTTGTATAATCATATCTGATATGGCATCAAAGACAAATTGCATTGCTTCGGTATCTGTTGCACATGTTATATGTGTATATAATTCTCGTTGGTGACCATTAATTTTTTCTCGTGAATCCATTTTTTCAAATTGTTCTTGAATATAACTAAGCGAAGGTTCATATGTATTGAGACCTAAGAAAAAGTAAAGTTGCTTTACGGAAAATGAAATATTTTGAAAACTTACCCGAATATTCAGGAAAGCATATTTTAATAGATGAAAAACGTAATTTTTCTGCGAATAAATCTTTCTTATTCAAAAATAATATCATTCCAGCTTGACGAAAAAAACGATTATTACAAATCGATTTGAATAATTGTAAACTTTCAATCATACGATTCTAGGAAAAATGAAATAGAAAAATAAAAATAAAAATAAACCATAACGTGAACTTAGATCGCTTTTCTGTTCCCTCTAAAACATCTCGACTCCATGAATTCGAATAAAGACAGAAGCAAGCTCTGATGGCAATCCGAGACCGACCGTAGACTAGGATCTCAGAAAAACGATCTTTTTCTTAGAAAAATAAATCATAACATACAATGCTCTCGTCTTCAGCTAGGACAAGATCATATTCGTTCAATGCACTAACAAAGATGACAGCTGTTACACCTTCGAAACAATGTATCCATTTTTTTCTTTCACTTCTTTGACCACCAACATCAACAATTCTAAATCAACATGATTACAGTGCTTTTTTACATTTTTTTTAAATCAAACAATTTATTTATACCGAAATTTATGTTTCTTCAATGTAAATGTTGTTTCAACAATACCCGTTGTTTTAACGCGTGTGCGTAAAACATCTTGTTGAGTTGGAATATAATCATATTCAATAAGTCGATCAAGTGAATTTAAATAACTATCAAAAAGAGAATACAAACCATATTGAAAAGATTAAACTTCAATTTATCTTACTAAGCAGCTGAATCATTTAATTGATATTCACGTGAGCGTAAAAAGCATGCTTGCACACCAATATCATTCCATAATGCTTGTATAGCGTTGCCAACAATCTCAGGTAAAATCTCATGATTACTTTCAATTTCAGCATGACTAAGTACGACTTCAGCATCTTTCTAAAATAAAATAAATTTTTTTTTTCAAATTGATTCCCGATTAAGATAATTTTCATACTCGTCGATTTGTATTTTCAAATGAAATTTGAAGCCGAGTCATTGCTTGTAAAATAGCTAACATCGATTGAATTGTATTCGAATAAATAACTGGTTTGAAACGAAGACATTCTTCTTTTGTATAACCATTCTCATTGAAAATAATTCTATAATAAATTAATTTGAAAATATAAAATTGATGCATAATGCAAAACGAAAATTTCTTGATGAAAGTAGATTTAAAGATCTATCACTAGAATGAAGCGTTCCGAAGTTTCTTGAATAATTCCAAATGACTACACTAGTTGTCAGATTGTTTTCCAAAAGAAAATGAATTTTAACCATCCATTAGATCTAACCGAAGTGCAGGTTTGTTTTCAATATTGATATGCATCTCATTCAAATGAGAAAAAAAAACATCAATTATGAATGTGACAACGCTGTAGCAGTCACAATTTTTCTGTCTAAGTTACAAAAACAATAAGTTTTAAACTCATCAAATTTTAGTGGAATCTATACAAAAACCTTGAAGTAAAATATTCGAACAAAACATGACCCATAAAGACCGACCATTGAAATGTCGATTCTAACACAAAAAACTTGTGAACTTACTTCATTTGTTTAACGACCGTACTCTTTCCAGATTCTCCAGCACCTAAAATATAAAAATGAATAAGAAACAGGGTTGATAGACACAATACACTAAGCCAAAGAGAAGCAAAGAAGACAACTACTGGATTATATATTAAGCAAGACGTACGTATGAGATCTTTTTTTTGTGGGAAATATAAACTAAAATATGATCACATTCTCTTTCATATCGATTTTAAAAGGAAAAAAATCAGTTCAGTTATTTACCTAGTAAAAGTAATTTTGATTCTGAATTCAACTCTTTTCGTTCACGTTCTAATGCTTCATTGATCATCTTATTTGTTTGTTTCGATGGATCACGAGGAATACAGCAGCCGAGCATTTTTAAAAAGAACTTTTTTCTGTTGATTGCTAAATATGAAATCGAATATTATCTCGAACAAAAAGCTAACTATGTCATTCTATGTTATTGGTCAGATGGCTTTCACCAATCCAATGCAACTGTTTTTTTATTGGTCGCTGCATGCTAGATCGAAAAAAAAATAACAACACAAACGATTCTATTGTTTAAAAACACAACTAAGTTATGAAGTTTTTTTTTCTCTTTTGTATGACTACGTGTTTACTAATCTCTTTCACACTTGATTGCACTGATTTATTAGAATCAAAAAGAGAGACAACGAAGTATTATATTGATCTTTGCGTGCTCTCTCGATTGAAAAACAAGAGAAAATTGCGTCGACAAATATTATTGATGAAAATTTTATTTTACTCTAGATTTATCAGGTTTTTTAATGACTACATTATTAAAATAGTTTTTAAAGAAAGATAAAATTAGAAAAATTACATTCTTCTTTGTCGTTGTTAACGACGCCAAAAAAATAACAATTTTTATTCAGGTAATTATCGGCTATTGATTTTTTTTCTTTTTCGCTCATGAAAAAAAAACAGACGATAATATTTCGCTTGTCTTTTGTAATTGAGTAGTTTTGATTTCGTCTAAAAGAGAGCTGTTGACAGTGAGTGAGTATTCATGCATTTTTTATGAGCCATCGAGTAGAGCACTTTTTCTTTTGTTTCTATTGGCCCGTTGGGATGAGAGACCCACAAAAACATCATTCTTAATGAAGTAGAAAATTATGTTAAGATTTTCATTATAGTGTCTAATGATGATTTCTTTTTTTTTGTTTCCTGTTGTTTCTAGTTATTATTATTATTAGTCACAAAATGTTATCAAAGAAACGTAATCAACATTCATCGTCGATTAGTATACGTTCATCATTAAAACACACAACTAATAATGATTCATCAATGACATTAACAAAAGAACAATCTTCAATAGTAACAATTCCGATGTCATCTACAACAACTACATCTATCCAAGTCACAAATCAAAGTACGATACTGGGAAAAAAATGTTCATATGCTGAATTGCAATTCTATTGTATTCTTTCTTTGTTTCTTTTCAGAATCTCCAAATTCGAAAACAACTTCAAACAATGGCAATGCCAGCCTACGTCGACGCCTTCGTAATCTACTTCGTTTTACAATTAGTCGTCCATCAACGGCAGCAGCTCGTTCTGCACACCAACAGAATACATCTACAACAAATAATTCGTGTCAATCTTCGAAACAACAAATTTATACATTAACATCCTCACCACCACCTATAAACGATAAAAACTCAATAATTTCATCGTCAAATATACTCAAAGATGAATTTATCGAATCGATTGTTGCATCTGCAAATGAACATGTTATTAATATAATTCCATCGACAACAACCACCACTTCAAATGATCAACTATTAGAAACATGTGTATTATGTTATCATGAATTTACTTCAGAACAATTCGAACAGTTAACATTATGTTCACATTCATACTGTCGAACATGTCTAAGAAGTTACTTAAGATTAGAGATTACTGAAGGTCGTATAACACTAAATTGTCCACAAAACGATTGTCCTGAACGTATACATCCATGTGATATATCACGAATACTAGAGAATAATCCAGATCTTATATCTAAATATGAACAATTCATGGTTCGCCGTGTTTTACAATCTATAACTGATACACGTTGGTGTCCAGCACCTGATTGCGGTTTTGCTCTTATAGCTTCAGGCTATGCATCATGTCCAGAAATTCAATGTTTACGACCTGGTTGCAATACATCATTTTGTTATCATTGTAAAGCAGCATGGCATCCAAATAAAACATGTGAAGATGCAGCACGCGAAAAAACATCATCAAAAATTCGTTCAGGCTCATTTATTAGTCTTGCTTCTGCTCAACAAAGTATGACATTGATTAATTTAAAATGATTGCATGCCTTTTTTTCCTTCTTTTCATAGAAGATGAAATAAAACAGTGTCCACGATGTCAAGCTTCGATAGTTAAAATGGATGATGGCTCTTGTGTATGTGTTAAAAAACAGTTTCGAATTCATTTTTTGAAATCATTTTTTTTTAAATATTTAGAATCATATGACTTGTCCTATATGTGAAGCTGAATTTTGTTGGTTATGTGGTCGTGAAATATCTGATTTACATTATCTTAGTCCATCAGGTTGTACATTTTGGGGTAAAAAACAATGGAGTAGAAAAAAAGTTATTCTCTGGCAAGTGGCTACATTAATTGGTGCACCGGTTATAATAGCATTGATAGCTGGTGTTGCTGTACCTGGGGTTGTTATTGGTGTACCGATATGGGCTGGTAGAAGAATATTTAAGAAATTTAATAATCCACCTAATAGTAAAGCAAAAAGAAACGTTCTTTGTACATTGGGCGTTGTAGGAAGTATAGCAGCTTCACCGATCATCGCTACGCTTGCTATTGGAATTGGAGTTCCTATTCTATTAGCTTATGTTTATGGAGTAAGACAATATTGTTTATTATTTATTGTATCGAAATTTCAATGAATTTTTAGGTGATACCAATATCATTATGCCGAACGGGTGGTTGTGGTGTTGGAACTCGAAATAATATATTAGATGGTGATAATCATAATATCGACAATTTCTTACCATTTTCTTTGCGTGAAGTTGCTATTGCAAGAGCTTTTCTTAATGGTATGAATATACTACAAAATTACACTTGCTTTAATATTTTATATATATATATTGTTTTTATAGATACACAAAGTGTGATGACACATCCAACTATTGGTGGTGATTCAGCTAGTTTATCGAATAGTGTTGCACACCTTGTAGACGATCGAAGTAATGAAAGTACAAAAGCATTACCAGGCACAGGTGCCATATCACTTTGTGAAAGTTTACCCACATCAAATCGGTATTTTGTTTTTATTGAAAATGTCTTGTAGGTTTTATCGAAATTTCATTTTTTTAGTCTCGAAGTTCAAGCCGAAGTTAGTGATTGTAAAAGCTTTGATATTGAAAGTATCACAATCAGTGAAAAATCTTCGAAAACAATGGACAGTCTTAAAGCATTAGCTGGCTCAATAAAGTAAGTTATTTACTAGAGAGAAAAACACACATTCAGCGATATGTTTTGATAATGATTATAATTTTCCTGATAAAAATTGCGCTGATCAACGTTTTCCTATAAATTTGCTAGTAATCATTGTTAATGACATATTCAGAATGAAGTATTATTTTCTTATATTTTTCTTCTATATTTAGAGATGCATGTACTACGGTGCCTTGTGCTGAATATACCAATGATAATATTTCTAACCATACACATGGAGATTCTACTGGTCGTAAATCAAGTCTATTGAGTAGTGCATCTGATTATGCGCGTTCAATTAGTATCGAACAACAGCAGCCACATCATTCGAATGTGACTCGAGCTGGTTCACCATATAACGATAAAACAGTGTCATTTTTTGATGAACGTGTTAAAGCAAAATCGAAGTAAGAATATTTCCATTTCGAAAATAGTCAATTTTTTTATTTTGAAAAATATTTTTAGATGACAAATAGATCGATGTTAAATGACGAACATGAGTTTTATTTTTTCAACGAAGAGGTAATTGTAAGTTCTCTTCATAATTTATTACTCAAAAGAAAAAGAAACAACAATACAAGCATTTTGTTCTTGTCTCATCTATGTAAATATTATTTTGTAAATGTCTGTCGCTTGTTTTCAGTGAATTCTTTTTTTTCTTTTTTGTCTATTCACTTGTTCGTTTAGGCTTTTTCTTTGTATTTAAATGGGAAGAAAATTGGCTCTTTTTGTGGTTTTTCATCATTTTTCTCTTTATACTCTTTGATTATAACTAATTTATTTTAAGAGCGCTCTATATTTATTAAGAATCAGAAACTAGAACATAACGTCTGTTTTTTTCTGTTTGTTTATACATTTATGTAATTCAAGCTGAAAAAAAATCGAGGAATCATTGAAGACTCAAATGAATATTTTCTCTTTTTGTGTTTTTTTTTTTGAATGGATCAACAGATATTTTTTGCCACTCATGGATCTGAATACAATATTACTATCGTTAGTCAATAAAGAGCATTTTCTACAAGATAATATAGTAATTAATATAATTTTTATTTAATTAGAAATATGGTATGCAGACCAAGAAATATTTCAGAGCAAACAACACTCTTCTCTATGCAAACGGAGTTTCTCAATTAAGTCTCTTCTAAAATTGGTGTGGTAGTTCTCGTTGAACTAGCAGTGCAATGACATACGATATGATTCAAGACTTCACCAAAGTGTTAAGCACAATCTGACAATTAAACAAGGTTTTCAGAGTTGTAATTGTTGCGAAACTTTTGTTGTAGTATAGAAGTTCAATTATAGGTCTTTAAAAGTTCTACATTTACTCTTCATTGTTGTATTACGAAATAAGTTGTATTGATTATTAGAATATATAGTGAATCGGCATCGGTAGAATAATTTATATATACCGTTTTACTATAACCAGATTGATTATTTTTACTTCGAGAATTGATATGGATATCGTAAGCATCAAATACAGCTGCTAATAATTTCAAGCAATGAATGCACTTGATTGACTCTCTCTCTCTCTCTCTCTCTCTCGCTACAATGCGGTATTATAGAAAGGCTAAAGAGTTCGTTCTAAACACGTAGTTTGCCACTAGACGCATAATACTATTTATAAAAATGTGATCTACTACAGACATCTACAGGAAGAGAAAAAAAATAATATCTAAGAGAAAACAACTAGAATATTTATTCGTGATCAGACATTTTTATCAATATTTACCATGCTGTTTGTTGAATAGTTAATTTTTTTATAAAAATGATAAAACAATTTCTCATAATAAAATCGAGTATAGAGAATTAGATACAGAAAATTAATTGGTTTGAAATTGAATACTTTTTCATTCTGGCCAGTGGCTATTCACAATAACCAATCAACATTTAATCAATCATCAATTATTCTTGTTCGCTTTTATGCTATTCATTATTTCCTAATTACCAATACAGTCTAATGCGATGAAAGAAATCATAAACATGTTATATTTACTATTGTAGATCGATGTTTTTCTATTTCCGGTAATCTAAGGTATATTAGAACTTGATTCATTTTTGTTTACATATTTTGTTGATTGTTATTTTGTATGTTTTTTTACTAAACAGCAATGTTAAAAAAACTATGGCACCACATGACTTTGTTGAAATTCGACTTGTCTGCAAAGCTGATTATCTTGACCCACAATTAAAAATAAAATTGAATGAAATAAAAGATAGATTACGAGAAATACTTCACACTGGTATAGAGAAATTCTTTTTTTTTCGTTTTTTACAATAGGCATACTATTTCTTTTTCTGTAATATTTAGGTCGAAGAAAATTTGCATTAAAAAAAGTGCAGCCGTGGAATAGCGTTAAAGTTACTTTTGATATTCCGAAAGAGGCAGCTGATCGATTACATTTACTTGCTGTGCAAGGAAATGTGCGCCTCGTTGAACTCGGAATACTCAGTGTTGAAATTGTTGGACAATCAAATGCAATTGTAGTTAATAATAATTCTAATTCTAATACTACTACTACTACTACTACTACTACTACTACTACAGCCAATAATAATAATGCATCAACGACAGCTAATCCAACAACGAACAGTATGTTTCAAGAATCTTCTTTTTATTCAAAAGTTTTTCTTATAATGTTATTTGTGCAGGTAAAGATGTATCTATATCATCATCAACAATCCCAACAACAAAAATTTCAATTGATTCTCTTGAATCAACTGTTCATACAGTTGCATCAAATAATTTTCTATATGATAATAAAATTGATGATCATCGACCAAAACGTGTAAAAATAGAAAATGGTAATGATCAGCAAACTTATTCAACAATGAATAATTATTCATATAAACCTTCAACAACGGTTAATCTCATGCAACCACCGCCACCATCGTCGACAATGGTCCATTCTGCTAGTCATTATATATCTCAGCCAAATCCACAAATTATTCATCGACAACCGCCGACACCAACGAATAATTATGGACGAATATCTTACCCACACAGTATTTCACCAACACTTCCTCCCACTTATTTAAACAGTTAAATGAAGAAAAAAAAAGAATATTTTTGCTCGAATTTCTTGTTTTGTCTATTTAGGTGGCAAACCTCCTCCTCCTTCTTCTTCGTCTTCTTCTGTGGTTCCTTCCAATCTATATCAAACGCCATCAATAATTGATAATAATAATTCAACATTATCGAACGGAATTGGAAATGATATGCATAATTATCATCATCATGATTCTTGGTCAAATTATGTTGATCATTCGAATAATTATAAAATGAAAGTTAATGGTGTACTGTCAAATCATTATTATCCTCAACAGCAACAATTAATTTTATCGGATAGTCCATCATCATCGAATATGTATTGTACCCAACAACAACAACAACAACAGCTACCACAACAAACACAATATGATATGAGAAGATGTGAGACGAATATGCCACAAATGACAACAACATCAACAACAAATATACAAAATTCATATGGTAGAATATTGTTCTAAATTTTTTTCTACTATTTTTTCTCCTATTCATTTTAGATGGTTCGTCAACTGGTTTATCATCTTGAAATATATTTTATCAATATCTGGCCATTGATAACAGTGATTGAATGAACGCATGTGTGTATATCATCCTTTATTCTTGTTTATTTTCTGTAATCAGGTCGTTTTCTCTTTTTCTTCTTGATGTCCCCGAATGTGTATATTGAATGAAAACACACAAAAAAGCCTATGTGTAACTTGTTGAATATAAAACGAAATTTCTCTTTTTCTTAAAAGCTAATCATGGCACTATAAAAACCGCACACACACACACACACAGTGTTTGAATGTATAATTTTCGTGGAGTTATGGTTTGTTTTTCTTTGCAAAGGTGAAACGAGTTTATGACCTCGATATATCATTCCACCCAACTAAACACTCTTGATTATTAAATTTCTGGTCTGCTCTTCAGCTTTTTTTTGTTCGTTTGTTTGATGATACTTACATGTGTGTGTGTATGGCTGATCTTTTGTCGTCTCTTGATTTTTTTTCTAGTGGTGTATGTGCCATACGCCTATATATGTCTATGTTCGTTCAAATTACTTCATGTTTTCTTTTTTTGTGGCTCCTTATTTCTTCTGTTAACAGAAAAAAAAGAATTGTATATAAATCAACGAGCGCTCGCGGTTCATCATTGTTCTCCTGTTCTACTGCTTCATTTTTTTTTCTATTTTGATTTTTATGCTCTATATTCGATGCAAGCTCATTCGTTCTCTTTCTTTTTTTCGTACTGTCTTTGTCTATGTGTGTGTATTCGCTTGTTAAGACTTGATGATAATGTAACAAGAACGTCAACAACAAATAAACATAGCTCGAATCAACGACTAGTTTTTATTTTATTTTTATTTTAATCTTTTCGTAACTGTTTTTGAAAGTATTCACCTAGCCTAACTGTTCCGTACATATCTCCAAAGAATCTTGTTTCAGCAGCAACATTATAATTTGTATTGCAATTAACATCGTAAACATAGATATTTGTTCCATCGTCAACCCATTCAATGCCAGCTACTTCAATTTTTTGTTCCTGTAAAAAGTTTTCTAGTTGTTCAATAACGTTTTTTTCGTTCTCGGTAAATGATTCCTTCGGTCGAATGTTAAATCCATGCTTGATTTCGTCGGCACTCTGTTGAACTAATTTAACTTCGGCTTGTTTTCGACATGCATCACTTGGACATAATTGAAAACCTTGTCGTGTATCAACTTCAATTACATACATTAATTTATAACCGATAAATTCTGCTCGATTAATAGCTTTTTTTGGCGATTGAATATATTCTTGTAGAAGATAAATACCATCAACAGAAAATTCTTCATCATCATCATTATTATTATTATTATTCGATAATTTTTTGAATTGTTCTTCAAGTTGTTGATCATCAGCAAATAAATGAACGCCAAGTCCTTTGCCTGCTCGATTATGCTTACTAATAAATGGTGCCCATGTTTGTGTTGATACATTGAAAAAATTTTCTCGTGCAGTTTTTTTTAATGTCTCAATAAAATTTTCTTGTATTGTTGATTCTTGTTGATTGAGTGATGTTGCACATCCGACAAATGCTGTACGTGGTACACGAATATTATTTTTCGTTAATTCAACATATTGTTTTACTTTAGATAATTCAAGCGAAAGAGCTCGTTGATCGTTAATAATTCGACATGAATGTAATGACAGATAATCGAGAACTTGACCTGTGATTTCACAAGAAAAACGATGATTGCGAGTATGTGAGGATGGTGAAATACGATTAAAATAAACTGCATCATGATCTGGCTTTTTATTTAATGTGAAGCTATGTGTGGCACTTAAATTCCATTCGATAAAAGGCAAATGAAGTTCTTCAAAAGCTTTTCGGAATGGTGGTAACCACGTATCATTTTCGTGGATAATATAGACAGTCATTATGATCTAGTATACAAAAATCTTGAAAACGTGTGCATTTATATATTCGTTTTATATCACAATATTCACTGAGTCACTTCTAAAAAATGTGCTCTGTCAGTGTGTAATAACATTTTTCAATTCTGCATATTACGATAGTTCTTTAAAGACATTCTTATTTGTTCTAGATGACAGATGCTTCTAGTAATAGCAATGACGATGCAAATATTACTATTGAAATAGATACATTATTAAACGATGTTCGGCAATGTGTAGAAAAATGTCGACAATTCCATAAAATATCTGGCATTAGTAAACTTGAAAGAAAATTTCGTGCAGAGGATAGATTTCTCCAGCGTGTATGTATATTCATGTCAATTCTTTATTATGATGTAAAAGTCAATAGGAATAAAAATATTTAAAGAATTTATTAAATTCATCTTGTCAATGTTTACAGACAAGAATCAGTTACCAATGGTTACGTGATATCTGTGACGTCAACCTTCATAGTTAAGATCAGTTTGTTAAGATATTTTCATATCTATAAGATAAACTAAGACTAATTGTGTCGAAAGAAAATGTCTACTTATCATAATTTAATTATCTGAATATATTGAGTTCGATAGATAATAGTTGTTATCTGTAAAAATGAAATATGTAAAATACTTTATTCATATAATTAAAATCGACTTATTTTTAGCTTCGCGCTGATACAAGTGACGTTAATGTTAATCATTTAAAAAGTTCTAATTTAACACATTTACGAGCTGTTATAGAGCAAATCGAGGAAATTGGCCCTGAGAAAATCAATGGAGTAAGTTAATATCGTAATCGTATTTCGCGCATAAACGACTATTGATTACTATAATTAGGTCTTAGTACCATTTAAAGATAATCGTCATCAATTACTTATATGTGAATTAGTTTATAATGAAGGTCGAACATGGATGAAAGTAATTGCTAGAAATGCACAAGCACTTCATCTCATTTGGAAAGTAAACTAGTTGGAAATTCTTCTTAAATGATTCTATTTTTGTTTTGTTTTTGATTAAACTTATTAGGGAAATGGTCATTATGGACAACGAAGTATTCTTATATCAATGAGACAATATCTTGAAACAGCTCGTCACAATGAAATACATTATCAAACTCCAGATGTCGTATTTTATTTTGTACAAGGTGTTACCGAACCATTAGCTAATCTATTGAAAAAAAATGGTATTATAGTTAAAGTAATTCTGAATATGCAAAATAGTCGATAATTAAAATTTTCAAATGAAACATGTTTATAATTTAGGGTTCAATTGTTGAAGTCAATGAACAAGTTGAAAAACGTTTACAAATTGTTGATGATTTTAGTTCGAGCGATAGTGATGAAGAAAGTGAAAGTGAAGTAGAAGATGAAAATGATAATGATGATGATTATATTAATAATAATACAGAATTAATTTCATCGCATGAACCATCTAAAATAAATCTTGATGTTAGCACACTAATTTGTCTTGTTTCGGAATTGACACATGGTGGTCATGTTTATCGATATCCAAGTAAATGGCTTGAAGTACCAGCAGAATTAGAACGAGCTGAACGTCTTGCACCAAAATTAGAAAAATACATGGAAGGTTTAGTCTTTTGTTTCTTGCATTAATTTCTTTTTCATTTCGTTACTTTACACTAATAGGAAAAGAATTGTTTATATGTCAAACAGCATACGAAGAATTTAATTCAATTGTCAATGTAGTTGGTGGACCTAATGAAAAAAAACGAGCAGAAGAGCTATTCAAACGAGTATATCACTTTCCTATGATGAGAGATGTGGAGAGCTATTAGTTTTAGTTCCGGTTATGGTGGCCATGACCGACTCTCTTAAAAATAAAAATGTACCTAATCGAAACTGGCATAACGCCTAGAGCAATATCAAGAGGGTTGCCGGATATAAAAGGAAAAGTTTTCATTTTTTCCTTTGACTGTGACATTAATCGAACTAACCAAAATCAATGTCACAAGAGATTAAAATAAAAGGGAGATTATTTATCGTTGACATTAATTAACCAACGATTATCGAAGGTTATGTTTTTAATATTTAATGTAATCACATTCTGAAAGAGTTTTCTCTGATGTGCGAAATCCCAACTGAATAGAAGCTTCCTAAGCAATATTATGTGTATTGCAAAAGATTGAAGGTTTTCCGCTAATTGCTGCGAGGATATTAAATTTTAAAAGACATTTAACTCAATACTATAATCTCCCAGTGGAAAACTGATTTTGAGATTTCGTCTAGAAATTTTACACGAAGACAAATGTTGATGAAAAAAGACATATTGAAGGGATTTCGTTTTAGGTATTTCGATTCTTCCCATTCTGAGATTGGACTAGACTAAAAAAGAAAGAAACTTGCTCTCTCACATTTCTCAATGTAATACATTACTGTCTATTAATTGTTTGTTTTTGTTTAGCTTACCATAGTTCCCGATTGTCTATCAGAACGATCAACTGTTCTACAAGAAAGTGTTAAAATAAAACCAAGGTTTGATTAGGATCATCAAATTATTTGTCGTATGCAAGCTTTTTGTTTTTTTCTTCTAGAACAAAAATAATATTTGGTACTGGAGATCATTTACGAGCAGTAACAATGACCGCTAACAGAGGCTTTGTTCGAGCAGCAGCACAACAAGTAAGTTGATCGACCGCGTTCGATTAGGTGCAACTCATCTTATTTCCAGGGAATTCATTTCGTTGTTCACATTCACGATAATATTCCACTGACGTTCAAAAGATTTATGAAAGTGCATCCATCATTATCAGATGGTTTCGAGTCATTTGAACAACAAAATTAACGGTACTGACGAGAGCTGACAATCGTTTTTATTTGAGACTGAGCTTTGTTTTTTTTCTCATCAATTTTTATGAAAAATAAAACTAGTCGTTTTTTTTAATTGTATTCTATCTTTCTAGGGAGTTCCTTTTGCTGTGTATTTACATCAATCACGTGCTTTAACCGAGCAACAACAACACCTATGCGCATTACCTTTATTGACACAATCAGAAGATAAACCATAAATTTAGTGAAAATACATTGGTGCTATCGAATATTTATGAGTGATACTTTTCCTGTTCTAACCTACTTTAACCTCTTCAACGATTCTTTTTCATTGTTGTCGCTAATTTCTTTTTCATTTGTTGGTTGCACAGTTATTTTTCTTCTTCGTTTCTTTTGGAAAAATATACAAATCGAGAACTTTGGAGCAATTTAATACATGATCTCTTACTACACGAATAGTACGAAATGTTAATAAGAACTATTAATGATTTACATACTGTGTATTCGTTGTCATTACTTTTTCATATTATTGATAGTTTACCTTGAAGACCAACACGTTGTTCAAGCTTAAGCTTGTTTCAAAACATTAAAACCTTTCTATAAAATTTTTCAATAGTACAGATTGTTTAAATCGCTGAGACTAGATCTACGTATATGAGAATGCTAATGGTGGTAATGAAAAATTTTTGTTTTATCATTATTTTACCTATCCATTGGCAATCATTGTCGCACTACAATTTGTTGTGTTCGAGTCATTGCTTTTTTTCACAAATCAATTCTAGCTATCATAGTTTTACCCTTGAATATACCAAGGACAGAGAAGTTATTGCATAAAAACAGTCATATATATGGAAATGGCACGAAGTTTTATATACATTAATTTATGACTTAGTTCGAGTCGTACCAAGAAGAGAAAGCGTGACTAGATTAAGCAAATATATTGGCTAACACCTTTCAATTTATTGATGATCGATTTTGATTTGTTGTCGACGTCAACAAAATCGAGCATTACTTAAAGGACATTTTATTTATGACTAAAAAAATGAGAAAGATATTATCGAAAAATGCCTATGGAAATAAAAGAGAGCAAAGACTAAAAAATAGAAGTCAACCGAACGAAATATAATAAATATTCAAGAAAGTTCGCATTTTCATGTTGAAATCAATAGTGATCATATGAATAGAAGCCAATAGATTCGTAGCTGATGGATGACTTTGATTTTCCACGTAAACCTTCATGTATTACTTTATCGAATCTTGCAGAAGATGTTATTAAAGCCGAAATTGATATCGTTAAAGCAACTGCTAATATTGCTATACCATTAAGTGAATGGCGTCAAAGATTCTGTAGACTTTGGCGTAATTATAAATGGCGTATGAGCCATTACTTTTATCTGCATCTATTTGTTTTCTTTTGTAATACACTTATATGTGGTATTATTGTTTGGAGTATTGAACAATATAAAATTCCTTATATTGACTGTTGGTTTATTAGCGCAACATGTGTATTCACATGTGGTTTACAAACATATGATTTTGCATTATTCAGCCGATCATCTCAAAGTGTTTTACTTTTCTATACATGGATATCTGGTAGCTTTTATTTTGTTTTAAAAGAAACATCTTTGTTTCTCTATTTCCTACATATTTAGGTATAACTGTTAGTACAATTCCAGCCATATTTATCAAACTTTATCGTGTTAAAAATGAAATCATAAGTTCCGAAGAGTCCGTAAGAAGACCAAGTGATATTGATGCTTTACCTATACAACGAATGGTTCCTAATGAAAGTATGGATTCCGATATGAATGAACGTATTCAATCATTACCAACACCTCATCATCTTCGGGTGACTGCTTACATTTTAATGGTTATACTTATATTATCAACTTGTTTTGTTATTTATTTGGCATCGTTTATTGCTATGGGTATTTGGCTTAAATATCATTATGATCCTAAAGATCTATTACAAGGAAATCAAACTATGAATCCATTTTATGCGTCAATTATTATTACTATAACAGCATTCAATCAAAACGGTTTATCACCTTGGTAAGACGAAAAACAAAACGTTTTAATAAAAAATTATTTTGTTTCATTTGCTTTAGGACCAATGGTATTGGTTTATTTGTTAATGATGTATTTATGAATATCTTTATAATCATTATTGTTATGTCAGGTACTTCATTGTTTCCAGCTATAATTCGTGGCGTTGTTGTTTTATTTAAAACAATTGTACCGTAAGTCAAAATTACTTATTGATTTCTCTCTCCCTTAACGATATGAATCATTTTAGCTGGCATTACAAAATATATTTTGATTATATTCTATTAAATAACCATCGTTTGTCTGCTGTTATTTTTCCATCGATTCAAACACGACTCTATGTTACTATTACTATTTTATTACAAATACGTAAGTTATTGTCATATTGAATAAAAACAGATCGCTATTTGTCTTTCACACTGAATTTTAGTGGGTGTTGTTGTTGGATTAATACTTGATTTTCATAATCAAAATTTAGCGCAATATACAGGTGGAACACGATTCATGATATTAATGCTTGAAACAGCCAATACGCGGTTTGGAGGTAGGCACATTTTATTTATAATTAACATCGCTCCTCCTACCCCAGAATGAAGTCTGACATTGATCATTGTAAAAGTTGGTGGATGAGACGAAGTTTTACCTGGGCGATTTCAACGCTTCTTCTAGATCGTGTTTTACTGAAAAAGGAAATATGACATGTATTAATAGGTTATGCGACGATTGATCTAAGTTTACACACACAGGGTACATTGATTATATTTGTTTTATTAATGGGTGTGAAACCGCAAATGGTATGTTATATTTCTTAGGTATAATTTTTGAAAGAAAATATTTTTTTCTCTTTCAATTGAAGTTATGTGCTATTGATGAAACGCCATTTGAAATGGAATGGATATTAATTCAAACGCAACAGAAATTAGAAAATAAAGTTTCAAGTAATAATCGCCGCGGTAGTATTCAAATATTTTTACCATTTAATCGTATGAAACATTATTTAACACGGCAAGGTTCATTAACAAGAGCGCAAGCATCAAGATATTTTTCTTCTATGACACGAAGAACTGATGCTTCTGAAGCGATCAATCAATTGAATGAAAAACGTCTTCAACATCGTTTAAGTGCGTTATCATTAGATTTTCAAAATCGTTCAAGAGATGATATACGTCCAAGCATTGGATATATTTCATTTCTTCGCATGAAACTTTTATTAATTATTTTCTGTCGTCATGCTATTGTTAGTTTATTCAGTTTATTGGTATCTACACGTACATGGCTATTTATATTTATTTTTCTTATTTGTGCATTCGATTCATATCATATGACACCTGTTGATATCAACATAACCGTATTTCGTGTGATATTCGAAGTGATCAGTGCGTTCGGTGGTTGTGGTTTATCTTTAAGTCATCCAAATGTTACATCAAGTTTTGCTACAGTACTGACAGTACCAAGTAAAATAATTCTTATATTAACAATGTGTATGGGTAGACATCGAGGTTTACTTGATTCAATGAAAGATCAAGAAGAAATTGAATATGGTGCGCAAACATTAATTGACAGCTGGAAACAATTGGCTGTATTAGAACAACTAGAAAATACGAAATCATTAACAACGCGCCATTATTTATCTGCTATACAAGTAGGGGAACCGACTCCGCCGCTTATTACTAAATTTTAATACATTTGCTTGTTTAAATGAGCTAGAAATATTTTTTTGTCACTGAGTTTTTTTTGATAAATAAAACAACTAAGATAATAATGGATAATTATTCTATAGTAAAATCCATAAAATTTTACTTAATGAGACATCTTTTATTCGTTTTCTGAATTGAATTACAAATTTTTAGTTAATTTCTCTATAGTTGGTAGATGATAATCTTGTCAAAATTGCAACGTGCCATTGATAGGCAATATTTGATTCGATCGGTCAGAAAATCAATTTGATTTTACTTTGAAAATCCTTCCTGTGTATAAAGCAACAATAACAATCTAGTAGGTTTATTCATTTTATCGGGTGTGTTTCTAAATATAAATTATCGCCTACTCATTATTAGCCAGGGGAATTTAGAACTTTTCATTTCAGTTATATGTTTTTGCATGATGTTTAATTCAATCTTAGAATACCAGGACGAATCTCAACTTACATTAACACCATCATAGTAATCATATGGTTTTTGATTGTGAAAAAATCATTTTACTTCATTTTTATCTTAATTCTCAATACTTTGACATAGTTTCACATTTTCGTGCTTGTGCAGAAGAGTTTCATGTATTAAACAGATTCAGTGTAATTAAAAGAATATTTAGAAAAATACACTTTGACTTGAGACATTACTTGTGCTGGATTCAAACGACAATGCATAATCCATATTCGTATCCATATTATTCATTTGTCAGTTGCATAAAAAGAAGATCCGATTTAAAACGATGTTGCGTTTTACATCAGTATATAGATATTAAATAGTTTCGGAAGAAATTATTGTACAACTCTTACTCGTGTGAATCAGAACAGCATTCACATGTCTTTTAAATCAACAGGGAACATCTTCAATATATGATTAGTCAAAAAACAACATTCTAAGTCTTCGTACGTGGAAAACAATCCGTATCAATCATTAATATAAATTCACGTATTCATGGCTATTCAAAATCAAAAGTATGAGTTCTATATGCAAAGAATTTCACATCATAGTTAGAATAACAAATATTGAATTTTTACATTTTTATACGAATAGATAAATGCGTTGATTTGATATTGATTTTTTTAAATAATTTTACTTTCCCTTTTCCTTCAACACGTAAAAAAAATGAATTTTTCTTTTCTACAATAAGAACGTTGTCAACGTTATCGTCTGTTCTCTTTGTCCTGTGACAGGCGACAATATTTCTTCAACATGACATATTGTAGACGACGATTTCTTTTATAATATTTTTTATGCTTATTTTTCAAATAGTAGAACTTCGCCATCAGAAGAAATTATTCAATGGCAGCAGCTATCGTAAAAAAGCCTTGTGTTTTATGTTGTAAAGGTGGAGGTGTTACTACATGTGATGGATGCCAGCAAACATTTTGCATTAAACATATTATTGAACATCGACAAGAACTTGCTCTTCAACTGGAAAATATTGGACAAGAGCATGACCTTTTCCGACGTGATCTCACACACGAAGATTTAGCTCATTCTTTTTTCGTACATATCGATGAGTGGGAACAAGAATCGATTGCTAAGATTCAAGTAGCAGCCGAAGTGGCTCGAGCCGATCTTCGACAATTGATTAATCAAACAAGAAATGAACTGAAAGCCTCTATAGACAAGGTTACCAATGAAATGCAGTCATGCCGAGAAATCGATGATTATACTGAAATTGATTTGTTACGATGGGCAGAGAAGTTAAAAGAACTTCGAAAATTATTTGAAACACAACTAGATTTTCAAATTACAAACGATGAGGATGTGTCTACTTCTATGTCGATGATCAAAGTACGTGAAGAACAATTATCTGGTGCCGTTCTTACTCATAGCCGGCAAATCGTTGAGAATAATGGCATTCATCAGGAAGTGCTCGAATTAAATCATGAAAGATTTAATAATTTTCAAGGAAAAGTCATACTATCAGGTAGTGGCCTTTTAGCAACATGTTCCGGTACTTATTGGGACGGTTCGAACGTGTACGGAACTCGTCTTTATGAATCTGGCATGCAGAAAATTTATTTTCGAATTGAAAATAAAGGAACCAACAATCTTTTCTTTGGCATTAGGACAGCGTCACACGATTTACCTGTGCAAACCTTAACATCACCATATGTGTACGGTTGGTGGGAACTTGAACAAGCTATAGAAAGTATTAGTGGATATCGAATTCATAGTGATAGAACTATTCGAACAGGCGATGAAATAACAATGATACTGGATTGCGATAATAGACAGATACAATTTCAACATCATCGAATCAATATGAATCTCAAGTTACCTGTTGAACTTGAAAAATGTCCATTTCCGTGGAAAATAATTGTCACACTACGATCAGCTGGTGATAGTGTTCGCATTATTTTATAAATAGACAAAACATTACTTATTTTTTTTACACAAGTTTTAACATAACCAAAGAAAATCGATCATTACAAACAATATCGTCTGGTTAAGAACGAGATTTTTGTTAGACTCTAACTTCATAAGTAATTGTAAATTTCTTAAAGCAATATTTTTATGTTTATAAAATATTTTAATTAAAATAAAAAGAAATTATAAAAAGAAATGCTTGAATCAATTATTGCATATTACAGATATAATTTAAAAAAAACCTTTTGACAATTGTTGATAAAAGCAAAAAATCACTTGAATATTACTAATTCACACATAGAAATTATTATTGCACCATTAAAAAATAATTATCCAAAAATAAATAGGAGATAAATTGAATTTCATGAAACCATTAGTGATTATAAATCTGAATAGAAAAAATTAAAGTTATTCAGGCGATTCTTCAACGTATGTTAGTGATGCACTTTCTATTATTCATCTGCTTGTTGATTATTTTCATCGTTTTCAACAGCCCATTCATTGTCGTCGTCATCATCATCTTTCTTTGACGATGAAGATGAAGTTTTTCGTGGCCGTAATAAAGATGTTATATTAATACCCCCAACAAACTTCTCGGTGTGCTCTTCAATTGCTTCATTGGTTGTTGATGTGACAGTTTCAGTATTATTTTCATTATTTTCTGGTATATTAGAAGTTGATAATTCGGATTCTGTTGGTGTTTTTGGCCGAACTGGCGATGGTTCGCGATTGCTTTCTTTCGTTACTACAACTATTTCGTGTTGTGTATTTTTTTCATGATCATCGCCTTTCGGTTGTGCTTTTCTCTGTTCAGCATTAGCTCGTTTCTTTCGTTCTTCAGCAACACGTTTTGCACTTTCTGATTCTTGTTCTTTTCGCATATTCTCAAATCTATATGATGCATACATAGATATAAGATTGCATGATTTAGTCTCTTAGCGTTACCTCGCACGAATATTACCAACATCCGCTTTAGCAGTTGGAACTATTGCTGGTTTTTCAACAACTTTAGGTTCTTATAAAAACAAAATAACATTGAAAAATGTATGATAATATGATAGAAACAAATATAAATATACCAGCTGGTGGTGGTGGTTTTGGAGAGGATGGACCAACAACCGCAGAGGAGCCAGTGGATTCTTCTTTTTGAACACCATGTTTACCACCAAAACCAGCAGTATAGTCTGCAGGAAAATGAGAATTATTTTTAAAACAAAACAGGAAATGTTCAATAAACAAAAATGAACCTGTTTGTGAAGAATGTTTTGTAAGTGTTTCTTTATGAGAAAATCCTACGGCTGATTTATCTTGTGCATTTTGATCAACACCATATTTTCCACCGAAACCTTTCACAAAATCTAAAAACGAAATTATTTTAATAATTTTCCTCTCGTTTATATAAAACCGTAATTTCTTTAGTAATACCGGTTTGTGAAGAATGTTTTTCAACTGTTGCTTTATAATCAAAACCAACTGCAGATTTATCCTTTGCACGCTCATCAATACCATGTTCACCACCAAAACCTTTCTTACTATCTACACCAAAAAAAGAGCAAATAAATGAATAATCATCAAGGTAATTTATTACTCATGATCAATAGTCAGGTGACGGCAATCTATCATTCGCGTACAGGGATGCAAATGACTATGTTTAGCGGGGGTGTTCGAGCATATAAATATTGTTTTAAATATTCATATTCATTACACATTTAACATACACAATCATTAGATCAAAATGGGAAATCGGCAAAAAGGTCGCGAAACTGAATCATGGGAACTTGATGAAATATCAAATTTAGTTTGCATTCCACGATATCAATTAGACAAAATTTACAAAGATTTTCGTCGCGTATCAAAAAATTATCTTCTTGATAAAACTGAATTTCGTCGTATTTATAAAGATTTAAAAAGTTATTCACCCAATCCTCCCGATTATCCACACTTATGTGACTATGAAATCAATCGACGAAACAATGCAATGGCTGATCGAATATTTAAAACATTCGATAGAGATAACACAGGACGTTTAACATTTAATGAATTTATTTCGGCTTATATTCTATTACAAAGTGCGATAAGTCCAGAAAGACGTTTACAATATTTGTTTCAGCAATATTCGCAAGATGATGACTATCTAACACCAATTATGGGTCGACGCATGATAGAAAATATGTCCGATTTATATGGTGTTAATACTGATTATCAACAAGTATGGAAAAGTTTAGAAGCTTATTCTGGTTCCCAAAATGGACACATACCACAAGCGGCATTGAAAAACTATTTTCTAAATGATCCAGCTTATGCATCTGCTTTTTGCAATGGTGTACAAGTACCTTTACCGCCGCCATCGCCTCAATTCTAAAGCAATCGTTTTCTTCTTGTTACCTGTTTGTGATGAGTGTTTTTTCACATCGGCTTTATATGAGAAATCTGCTGCAGACTAAAATAATTTTTTTTTGTTGTTGTTGTTCATAAATAAAAATGAAAACTAGTTACTGACCTTATCCATCACTTGTTCTGTGCCATATTTTCCTCCGTAGCCACGATTAGGATTTTTTTCTTGGTATGTTTCTTTAATGGTATTATCAGCTGATTTGACTTTATCTTGAATGGAACCTAGATCAACATAATCTATTCGACCAGAACCAGGTACACTAGTTGAACCAAAGCGTTGCGATTTTTCAGTTGCTGAATTCTGTTAAGAATAAATAAAATTCTGCTTTTAGTAATTCATAAAATATACTTCATAAGTGATATCTGTTTCCCAATCATCATCTTTAGTCTCGAATTTTGGTTTTGGTGCAGCTGGCTTAGGCGCTGATTTGTTAGTTGCTTGTCGCCACGACATTTAAAATATTTTTCAACAATTGATAAATGAATAGAAACTCTAAAGTTCCTTGAGTTTTTTTTTCATAGAAGATTGCGCCACATGCTTCATCCAATCTCAAATTTCAACCGTCACTAAGCGTTGTTTGATTGGATAAAAAACATGGAGGCAAAAACCTAGCAACATATAATCAAAAAATAGAAAAGAAGATTAACTCGTATTTTTGTTCAACAAAATATGAATTCTAATCGATCTATCAAAAGTAATACAAGTATTGGTGGTCGAACATCACCAAGTTTTCCAATATCAAAATCGGATGCGTTAACAAATCGTTCATCTTCGCCATCATCACTGGTATCAAATAGTCGTTCATTGCTTTTTCGACAACAAGATCGCGAAAAGAATGAATATCCTTCGAAAACTCTTAGCAAGGAAGACGATGCAAAGTTCCATAAAGCCGTTTTTATACGCTGCGCTGATACACCTAAAGGAGATAAGATAACAAATCGTGAGAAATTTGTTCAAGGTAGGATTACTGACCAGAAGAGATCTCGAATTTTAAAAAAATTGCTTTTCTATCGAGACAATCTGTAACATCAAGTATTAATAAATCATAAATATCTTGAAAACGGGTATGACTATAAGCTTAGTTTTGCTGGAAAACTAAATTTTTGTGGTATCTTCAAGTGAAATAGTGTAATCTTTCTGGAAACATCAGGCATACTTGATATTTGTCATCGAAATAAATCTTAAAACGAATAGTTTATTCTCGAATTCTCAAATCTTTACATGATACCGAATCGTATTGCTCATTTTTATCGACAGATTTCACTAGTGTTGTTTCAGAATAGAACTAATCAAAGTTTCTCAAATCATTCTCGTCCTGATCCGTTTTTGTTTTATTCAGTTTCGTACTATTTCATACGAGGAAGGTAAAGATATTGAACTAAAAAGTATGCGTTTATATGATGCGAATTGTTTCAGTAGAAAAGCAACTGGAAGTTGTTGTTTCTGAAATTTTATTGCAATAATATACAAATTTTTCCTATACTAGCTCTTAATTATGTTGGCTATGATTTGCCGAAAACAGCAATCGATCAAATATGGTCTGATAATGATGGTGAGTTTGGTTTGTTTTTTGGCTTCATTTAAAATTTTATCTCGTTTATTTACTAGAAGAAATACCACTCAAGATATTTCAACAGATTCTTACTGAAGAGAAACCAATGGATGAACGAGGTCTCGAAGAGGCATTTGAAACACTTTATAGTAAAGATCGAAAGCACGATTTGAGTGCAATTGATTTTGACAAGTTTCGTACAGATCTGTTACATGTAGATAATTTTAATTTTCAATAGCGAAATTCAGACATAATTTTCCATATTAGAAAGGCGACCGTTTTACGGAAGATGAATTTAAAAAAATTCGTTATCTACTTGGCACCGAGCATGGAAAAGTTGATGTTAAAAAGGTTAATATTATTGATTATAAACCTAAATAATCGAAAATCATCGTTCAACATAATTTAGTTAATAAAAGCCATTGCAGAAAGTAAAACATCGTGTCGTCAAAAAGTCTTAAAAGAACAAGAAGAAAGTAAGTTTTAACTAATGAATTGAAGATAAAAACGTTTTCTTACAAGATATTGAACGCCCATCGCAACGACACACTTCACCGAAACCAAATAATAAAAACTATAATAATTGTAATGTTCGCGTTATGATTGATTCATCATCGAAAAAGCCGTTCAATCCTCCGGTCTGTAAAAATATTTCCAAAAAAATATTATATTTCTAAAGACTATTTATATTTTTAGAGAATGGGTTCTTTAAAAATGAAAGGTGCCTTCTTTTGTGAATTTTCCGATTCACCAACCGATGTACTTTATTTTTCAATTGGTTATACATTTGAATTAAAAACACCAGGATCGATATCTATAAGTCTTGAACCAACTATTTCACGATATCATAAGGGTGCGTACGTCTGACTAATGTTACATTCGAATGGAGCATTAGAATTTTAACACATATCTCGTATTATTAGATTCATCATTTAAAAATCTCGATGTTCGAATTCTTGTTTTTAAAAAACAACCGCGTTCAATAGAACGACGTCTTCTTCACATGAGTTCTGCACGATCAGACACTGTAAGTACCGTTTGCTTTTGCTTCTCATTAACATTTTGTAAATATAGAAAACATATTTACAAGTGGACGAATTGCCAAAAGGTTTATATGAAATTATTCCTATTACATTTGGCGGCTTACTTCGAGCACGATCACAAGAAATGAATGCACGTCTTTCAATCAAAAAATTGCGAGAAATTAAAAAAGGAAATAATTTTACGATGAGCAAAGATTATCGGTAGGAAAATTTTAGATTTACATGATTTTTCAAATGAAATGAAATTTTGCTTTTAGTGATGCACTCGAATATACTTTCGATCTATTTGATTTCGATGGTATAGATGGTTATTTGAAAATATTACTTTTTGACATATTTTTCTTCAGATAACAAACAACTTGATCGACAGGAATATAATTTATGGACTATCAGAACAACAGGAGACGAAATCACTAATGAAGATTGGTCATCAATTCAAGGTAAAATACTTATTTGTTCTTAAGAGAAAAAATGATGGATGTATTTTCGTAAATTTAGCAAGTGTTGGCTTGGATGTTGATGAAAATATTTCAAAAGATAAATTTTTGAAATTAAATGACTTTGAAGTACAAGATCAAGATACTTCTGAGCAAGATCTGTGGATTGGTTTAAAATCGATAGGTTTCAACTCTGTTCTTGAACTCGATATGGTTTATTTTGAAAGTATCTTCTAAATATTTTCCAACTTGTCGTTTCTATTGATAGATGTGTCCATTTAATTTAACTGTATATAACAATCAGAGTGGCCTAAAATTGACGCCAACAGCGTTCGTGGATTTAGCTGAGATTAAAAAACTTCTTGTGCCATTTTTACAAAAGAAAGCAAAAACGATAACGCTGGAAGATCCATCTATTCATTGTTTTCATTATCAAGATGATTGTGGTTCGATACTTTTTGTAGAAAACCAGGTAAGCATAGATACATGTGATTTTATTTAACTAATTGATCAATAGAGTGTATCCAATGTACGATTATCTATTGATGTGAAAAATGCTGCTAATGCTTCCTTAAATTTATCGACGGATGCACGCAAACCCACCGTAATCAGTGTTCGACGTGATACTAATCAGGTATGAATATTCAACTTGTTTATTTGTTTTCGCTTAATAGTTCTATTTTTTTAGATTATTTGGTTTGCACATAAATTAGATAGCCAAAGAGAGATGGAACTAGACGCAATTGTTCAAATCGAATGAAACTTTGTTTTTTATTTCTTGTAATTTACTTTATGCGTGCAGCTTTTTGTGTTTTACTAATCAGTAACAGTTTAATTGTACTTAATAAATTTGTTTTTTGCTTTTTAGTTTGCAAGATTCGTAGTAAATTCTACTATTAAAGCATTCGATTGTATTTATGCTTATCGTGTTGCTTATCAATTCTGCTCTGTTCTTCACATTCGATTTTTTTTTCTAAACAGAATTTAGTGGCTAATTTAAATAATATTCGAGAGAATTATTTTGATCTATGAGAAACTAACTTTGATCGTAAATATTTTTCTTTGGGCATATTCAATTGAACTTAACCTTTTAGTATTCTCAAATGTAAATTGTAGTAAAATTTTGCGAATTGGTAGAAGTTGACGACGAAGTTAGAATAATGGATTTTGATCTAGGTACGCATTTTTCTTAATCGGCAACACGCAAATTTCTTTAGTTATGTCAAAAGTAGAGCGTACTAGTAATGTTTGTTTATATTAGTAGTATGAAAGAAGAAATAGACTTGAAATAAACTTCAGTCATTTATCGAAAAAGCAAAGCTCATCTCAATGAATCGAAAAGTAGATAGTTCTATTTGTTTGCAACATGTGAACGACAAAATTTGCCTATACAAATGCATATTTTAACCATGAATGTGAGAAAGAAAAGCGGGTCCCTATTTTCTCGGTGGTCAGCCGATGGGTTGGAAAATTGTAGCAACTGCCATATCAAATATTTCGGTTGTAGTCCTCTCCAGCTTTTTCTCTTAGTCGCTCATTTTATGATTGGAAGTTATGTATAGCATTGGAGAAAGCTAAAAGAAATGAAAGAATTCAAAAAAAAATATAGTGAATCAACCAATAAATACCAGACTTCTCGCATCGCACCATACGTGTTGTGTGTAGTAGGTGTAAACGCGGTATATATATATATATATATAATTGACTGAGTTGCATTTCATATTTCATATCCTTGCTTGTTACTTCAGTTTGTGCTTTTTGATTCACATTAAATTGAAAATCAGCATATGACATTATTCAGCACATCGATAAGTTTTATGCTATTCCAGATCTATTCGATAGTATCAAGTAAAGTATTACATTTAATATTTGAATCTAAACCAAATAATATATCCATGAAATATTATGTGTGTAGTCGTTGAGAGAATTAGCTGAAAGAGTATAATAATTTGTTGAATAGTAAATAATATAGAACTCATAAGATTGAATTTCTTATTATATTCTTGCTAATTGTCTGAGGCCATAAATGTAAAAAAGGCTAACTTTAATTGTCAAAGTGTTTTTGATTTTTCCATGAAAAAGCTATGCATGTCAACAAAGTTTATTCTAAGCCAATGATAAATACCATATTTGGGAAGAAAAATTAAATGTTTACTGAACAAAATTTCTAGTTCAATATCAACTGCCATGCAGACAAGTGAATTCGTGTAGTTGTTTAATAGAATAGTTCTCAATGCCTACAGAATTTTATTTTAATTTCATTATCAAGATTTCAAAAAATGTATTTTATTTAATCTAGATATTTTCTCGAGATTTCATTTCAAGTTTTTTCTACTCTTTTGCTTTCTCTCTCTTATTTTCAAATCGCACAAGAAAATAAAATAAACAGTAAAATAGGAAGCCACATGGCAGCCTCAAGGTTTGCCTCGTTGACATGTTTATGTAATTCTTGTGTTCTACCTTTATATTAAGAGCAAGTTATGTTCGATAGTGTAGGACATAAATTTAAAGAATCACTTTCATCTAATTTTATCTATTAATAATTACAGTTATTTTTTTCTTCTCACGTAATCAATTAGTATTATTCAATTAATTTTGATTTAAGTCAAAATATTGATAAATGATATGTGCTTGATTATAGATACACATAAGAATAGTAAGTAAACTCAAGGATTTTGTAAACGCTCAGTAAAATTTTCTAAAGTTTTACCAGTTATACAAAAAACAGAAACGTTTTCACTGAAACTGATATTCCGCTAAATAAGTTTGACTGATCCCTATTTATGATAGTGACAACATAGAATAGAATGCATTGATTAGAATGCGACTTTTTATTTTATGTTCTTTCGCTAACTTAGTTTTATTTTTCTTACAAATAAATGAGATAAACGTTTTTTGTATAACAGCTAATGACATATTTTACTTTGAACAATGGAAAATATGGCTAACATAGAGGAAAGTAAAAACAGTGTGACAGATTTACGTAGTATTATAGATATCATCTATTTTTTCTCTCTTTCTGTTTGGTCTGTATAAGCGGTCTTGTTTTTTGACCTAAGTGAAAACTGTGTTTTGACTCTTTTCATTTTCTTTTTACATAAGATTTCATTCGGCCAATACATATTTTATTCGTTCTGCAATAATACACATAATTGCCTTTAACATTTCACACTTCTTACCCCTTTCATGGATTCTACCTATTCCTTCATCACTTCACAATGTCTTATTCTACCACTCTTTGCTTGCTCATCTTTTCTTGAATTTGGAAATCATGTGTTTTTTTATTCAAAATTTTCTATTATATTAGTTCTGCTTGGTATTCATGAGATTGGGACAGATTATTAGTTATATTAACCCTTTACCCCCCCCTCA